GTGTGGCCTTATGACACACTTCCGGTGATGTCAGGGGGTGTGGCCTTATGACACACTTCCGGTGATGTCAGGGGGTTTGGCATATGCTAATGAGTTATGCTAATGAGTTCCCCTAGCTCTTTTTCTATGAAACGACCCCTGGGTAAATGAGAGAAAAAAAGAATTCCTAAACACAGCTTTTCTTAAAAAAAACAACCAATCCTGAGAGCAGGAATACCCTAAGCTTGACCAGGTAGGGTAATATTAGTAATTCCATCTGTCAGTAAGTGTAGGCAGCAGGAAAAGTGATTTACTTCTGCTTCCTGTTTCCTTCTGTAAGCTGTAACCTCTAATCTGTTCTAACTCTGTGGGACCAAGAGAGCTGCAGTAGCCATACCATCTCACCAGCATGAGCTCAGTTGTAGTCGGCTGGGGCTACAGATAGGACGGAACGTCTTACTTGTAAGTGGCCACACATTTTGTGTGATTAAGATTCATTTTCAGTTAACCAGGTGAGGAACCTTTTACCCGAGAGTGTATTGTGAGTTTTGAAGCTGGGGTGGCATTAGGCTACAGCGCAGCATAGGCATGTGGATCTGTAATTATTGTGGATGTGCTCGCAAGATTATCTTGGCTTTAGATAACCAAGCCTGGATCATCTTTGCTTTTGGAAGTCTTCAACTGAAGGTGAATGGGAGAAGGGAGAGCACCTCTCGACTCAACCTCTGATACTCTCTGTCCTCCCCTTAGGTGGTGGGGTCTCCCTTGGATCCCTGCAGCCTGCTGTACCTATGGAGACCTACTCTGGAGTTTGCCAGTCCCCGTTTCTTGATAGCAGGTAAGTTGGCCCAAGGTGGCAATAGCCTGCCTTGCAGGAACCCTTGGCGCTGCTCCCCAGTCATCCCATCCTAGCCCTTCAACTACCCATTCCGCTCGCCTTGTATTCATCTTCTTGCCTGAATTTTTTTCTCCTCTGCTTTATAGGGAAAGGAGTGGCTTCTTCAGCCCTGAGCAGTGTGAACCGGAGAGCCCTTGGGCCAGTAGTTCTGCAGCTTCCACGCCCACCACACCCACAACAGAGGGGGAGAGTGACGGACTCTCCTATAACCAGCGGAGCCTGCAGCGCTGGGAGAAGGACGAGGAACTGGGGGAGCTGTCCACCATCTCACCTGTGCTCTATGCCAACATGAATTTCCCCAACCTCAGACAGGACTACCCAGGTTGGTGGTCCCCCCCCCCCAATATGACATGCAACCTTTTGTTGCAAACTGACTTTGCTTGTCTGTGGGGTTTTTTTTCCTTTTCCTTTTTTTACTATTTTTGGTGAGTATTTTGTGTGCGTGCATGCGCTTGTGAGCCTGGCGACCCCTAGTGGGGCTAGGACATTTCAGAAGGGTGGCTTCAAACCCTGCCTCTGTGTCCCAGTCCTGGTATTTCTTGGAGGTCACCCTTTCAAATACTTGCCAGGGTCGGCCCTGCTTAGCTTCTGTGATCTGACAAGATCGGGCTTGCCTGGGCTATCCAGGTCAGGGCTACGTGTCTTGATTGTTTAATGAAGACTCTCTCTCCCAGTGTTGTGTGGCGTGTCTGCTGCTGACAAAAAAAAAATCCAAGTTCTGTGCCAGGGTGATTTCAGTCCTGCTCTTAGAGCAACTACATTTTGTAAAATAAATTGTGCTGATCACACTTGAGAACATTTCACAAAATTTAGGCACTGGGCAATAAGTTGGGTACAGTGCAGCCCTACTTGCTGGAGACATTCTTCCATCATTGAATTCACCAAGCACTGATGATGCTTTTTTGAGCTTTTCCCTGCCGTTACAATTGCTTGAAGTTTGCCTCTGTTGAAAAATAAAAGCCAAGTTTCTTGGGATGTTAAACAGTGCAAAGGACATCAGTTCCCACAGCCCATCAGCATGTCCCTGTTATTGCTAGTGAAGTTGGCCATTTTCCTCAAATAACCTACCCGTGTAGTCGACAAGGCATGGAGCATCCAGATTCCCTGTGAAGAAATTATGGATGGGCCTCTCCAACAGCACACCTTTTACTTGAACAAAGCTTTCTCTTTAACTGATAGTCTTGGTCTGGTTGCTTAGGGAAGGGGAAGCCTTCTGTTAATTCTTCTGTGTAGGATGTGTTTTAGTTCTGTATTCCATAAGTCAGGCTTGGAAGTATGTTTGGAATAAACCATGACTGAAGGTGGCAGACCTGAGTTTGATTATGCTTGGGAAGGGTGTAAAGGCACTGCCGTGAGCAACGGTGGAGTGAATTTCCTCCTCCTTTACAACACATTAACAAATTTCTGGAGTCATGAAGCTGCCTTATGCTGAATTAGACTTTTGGTTTGTCCAGCGCAGTACGGACTGGTAGCCACTTTCTAAGCACTCGAGTTCTTTTCTTCCTGCTAAGTAAAGTTCTTTAACAGGAGAGGGCAGGAACATTCTGCATACTGAACAGGGACTTTACCACTGAACCGTGACCTGAGTCTCCCATCAAAAGACGGATACATAACAGTGTGCCTCTTCTGTCACTGGCAACTCATGAACCTTTTTCTGAGCTTCCCTTTCTCATCTCAACAGTCTGTTAGGCTGGGGAGGGGGAGTGATTTGCCCAAGGAAACCCAATACCCCGTTAGAACTTTTGCAGGGATTTAAGGTATCTCCTCCAGAACTAATGTGGCTGAAACCACAGTGGCCTATGCAAAAAGTTTTTCTTTGGTTACGTGCACACATTGTTGAATAGTATGCTCTTGTTACACTATAGCAATCATTCTCAACTGGATTGTCCTGGATAGACAAGCCAATTTAGCGGTTAACTATTGTTATAGCACAGTGATAATGCAGTATCTGTTAAAAGCGGACGCAACATTTCTGTCATATCAAATCTGTGACCAGACCCTGTGGGCAAAACTGAGTAAAATGAACTTGGTGTGTTTTTCCTCCTCTTCCATCCCTCCCCCTACGCAAGACTGGTCTAGCCGTTGTAAGCAGATCATGAAGCTCTGGAGAAAGGTGCCAGCCCCAGACAAAGCCCCTTATTTGGTAAGTAGTCCATGAAGATTGTGTGTTTGAATTACTACTTCTCCCGTGCAGGTTTTCTTAGTGCTTTTATGGACATCCTTGCTTGAATGGAGGGTGATACACACACACACACACACACAACAACAACAACAACACACACACACAGTGTAACTGCCGCAGCAGTTCTACTTACGTATTTGTTTCTCTTTTAAAAAATGTTAACAGTTTAAAACATGGGCCCATTAATTGAGGCAGGAAGCAAACATTTGCTCTACGTTGGGAAGGGGAATTTCTTACCATCTGTCATCATGATCCAAATTCAATGTGGATTTTTTTTCGTGCAGCAAAAGGCCAAAGATAACCGGGCAGCTCACCGCATCAACAAGGTGCAGAAGGTAAGCAAGATGATGATGAAAAGTCCCTTTGTGAGTAGTGCTTATTGAGGGCAGAGTGGGAGAATTCCTGGGAAGTTAGACTTGACCACCATGACCCCATCTACAATGGCCTGTTCAATCAGCTGTGTCCAGCAGTTCTGATCCTGGCGCCAAAGCTCTACTCATTTACCATTTAAAGTTCTTCTGTGTGGCGAAAAACCTTTCCTGGGTACCGCTGCCCAAACGCTATTGAGCTGTCCTTCAGGACTAGAAATGTCTTCCATCAAAACAAGCCAAATGGGAAAAAGTGAAGATTCTCAAAACGTTGATTTCTTCACCCTGTACCAATTTCTGGGTTTGCCTAGTATGTTTGTGGCATCAAGGATTATATGCAAGGGATCACATAATAGGTTAAATTTAAGCCTGACAACAATGCCGAAGCAGTTCATCCACTCTTTGTGGTCAGTTGGGGGGGGTCCTATCAAGTATTCCTTCCCTTCTCAAGAAATGCTCACAGGCCAGTAAGCTTAGTTACTCCGTTTTTCATTGCACAGAGACGGGAGAGGGGTTGGAGGTACAAATGGTGCCTCTGACAACCTGCCTGTGGTGCATTCTTGCTCCCCTTTCTGCAGCAAGCCGAGAGCCAGATCAGCAAGCAGCAGACCAAAGTAGAGGTGCCGCGGAGACCAGACCGCCCTGCTCTGCATCTGCGCATCCCACCCCAGCAGGGGGCACTGCCAGGGGCCACCCAGCCGCCACCACCGCCGCCGCCTCCTCCTCCTCCTCCTGTTGCTGCCACCTCAGCAGCCAGGCAGCCCGTCTACATCAACAATGCTGCAGCTCTGCCAAGCGGGTCAGGTGTTGAGTCGCCCAGTGAGCTCTTCCTCAATCTTCCCTCTTCTGCCGCCAGTGCCCAGCCCCCAGCGCAAGTGCCTTTGCACGAGCCCTATGGCATGGCCTCTGCCTGCCCCCCACCAGATCCACGTTTTCCTTCTCCTTCCTCAGTGCCTGCCGGCTTTACCTCCTCCTCTTCCTCCTCCTCCTCCGGACAGTCCCCACACCTGCCCAATCCCCGTCCAACCCCACAGTCTGGGGAGTTCCAGCCCACTCCACCTGGAACCCCTAGGCATAGGCCCTCCACCCCAGACCCTTTCCTGAAACCCCGCTGCCCGAGTGGGTCTTTGGAAAACTTGTCTGTGCCTGGAAGCCCCCAGCAATCTGCACTGATGCTTTCGCCACCCCCCTTTGGGGAACAGAAGAAAGGGCTGGATATCAAGAAAGAAGATGCCGGGCCAGGAATCTGCTCGCCAAGCTATGGCTATGGTGACTCACCAGCCGGTGCTCATCATCCCACTGAAATGAAAGCCCCAGATGTGTTCAAAGCCCCGCTCACCCCCCGGCAATCTCAGGTGGAGCCACAGAGCCCAGGTTTGGGGCATCGGCCCCCAGATTCTCACCCTCTGGCTTCTTCTCCCCCCAGCCAGGCTGATCTCTACCGGCAATCTCCGTTCCCGGACCCTTATGCTCAGCCTCCTCTGACGCCTCGGCCTCAGCCCCCACCCCCAGAAAGCTGCTGTGCCCTTCCCCCTCGCTCACTACCTTCTGACCCCTTCTCACGCATACCAGCCAGCCCACAGTCCCAGTCTAGCTCCCAGTCCCCTCTCACTCCCCGGCCACTTTCCAACGAAGCCTTCTGCCAGTCTCCGGTCACCCCTCGTTTTCAGTCTCCCGACCCCTACTCCCGGCCTCCTTCACGGCCACAATCCCGGGATCCTTTTGCCCCTCTGCACAAGCCCCCTCGTCCCCAGATGCCAGATGCCGGCTTCAAACCCTTGCCAGTCTCCCACAACAGCCCAGCAGTTGGGGGCTATCCAGCAGTGCCTCCTTCGGGTGAGCCCCACCCCAAGACTAGCCAGCAACCCCAGTTTGCTCGCTCCCCTGGTGCTAATGTCTTTCCAAATGCCCAGCCCCAAATGCGCTTCACTTTCCCTCCTAGCGAGCCAATCAAGAGTTCCCCTTCCCATGGGATCAACAGCCATTTTGCTCCTAGCAAGCCCCAAAGCACAAGCTACGTTTCCTCTCCGGGGTTCCACCAAGCTGGGAGCCCACTAGGGCCAGGCAAGGGTACCACAGACTCTTACACCGTCTCCCCGCTGCGTCCTCCCTCGGTCCTGCCGCAGCAGCCATCTCAGCAAGAGAGCACCTTGCCCTACCTGCCACGGACAGGAATGGTGCCCCCAGGTGACAAGAGGGAAGAAGGCGTGGTGGGCCCACCAAACAGGGAACTGCAAGAACTGCCAGCCAGCCAGGAGGGGGCAATCAGCAACATCAGCCAGACAGAATTAGAGAAACAGCGACAGGTGAGAAGGGTGCTGCTTGGGTGGTTCCAAGAGGGATATGAGCAGGGGGAAATCAATCAGCGCTTTAAAGTGATGGTAAACCAGCAGAGGGGAGTTGGGCGTCTGGAAGGGTCTTAAACACCATCTAACCCTTTACGGCCAGGACATCAGCCATACAGTCCAGACCCAGGTGCATTGCACCAAAGGTTCCTACTGGACAGATGAACCCCCACGGACTTGAGCAAGCAGATCAAGCTACAGATTGCAAAACTGGGGGGAGGGGTATGCTCAGTATCTGTACCTAATTTCGTAGGTGAGAGTAGAATTCTTTCCTTACCTCAAATATAGGGTTGGATTGTGAGTAGGGCCAGCAGGACCTCTGTGAATTAACAGCAACGTGGATCTGAGGCTGTGGTGGGGAGTGGGATGGCATCTCCCTCTCATCCATTAGCAGGTTACTTCTCTTGCTTCCAAACTAGGATTCATCCTAGACATAAGGCCGAGACTCCCCCTAGGCTCATTCCTGTACTGATAAACCCATGGCTGGTTATTACATGTGAATCCAGCCAGAGACTAAAGCATGTAAAACTGTCAGATGTCAATGCAGATGACAGCCTAATCTAATTGGGCTACCTATCACAGAAGATGGCGACTTGCCAGTGGGGGTTGGGTTGGGGGAGATAATGATTTATGGAAGAACCATGAATGTGACTAGAATGAAAGGAAATTGCTCAAAAAGACTTTTGAAGGAATAACAGACTGGTAGCCTGTATCCCATTTTCTTTTGCTCCTCCCTCCAGCGGCAGAGACTCCGTGAGTTGCTCATCCGTCAGCAGATCCAAAGGAATAACTTGCGGCAAGAAAAAGAGAGTGCTGCAGCTGCCGCAAACAACTCCCAGGCATCCTGGAACCCTGAGGGCAGTGGGCAGACCTTTGAACAGATGAATCGGAGCATGACTCCATTTCCAGCGGTGCAGGTATGGGTACGATTAGGAAGAATGCCTGGCTGTGAGTTGTTGAATCTGACTCTCTCATGGAGACTGACAGTCCTGTGAAAGAAATACAGTAATGCGGTGGTTGGAAATTAGGGAATCACTGGTGCTGCTAATGTATCTAAAACTGAGATCAACTCATGCCGAATCAACTTAAGAGCAAAAACTAGAAGCAAAAGCTTTGGAGATTCCAAAAGAGGAAGGCTATCGTAAGCAGCTGAAGGTTTCCTAAGAGGTGTGGCTTAGATTTCCTGGACATGCAGAATCAACTGGGCAGCTCTGTGCCGTGAGTTCACCTTTTTGCCCATACATCATCAGTGGCTTTGCATCTAGGGAGGGTTCAGGCCCTAAGCAACTTGGGGGAGCTGAAATTCTGAGTTAAAAAGTTGACCATTCCAGGTGCGGATAGTCAGGCTGGTGTGAGTGAACTGCTATGGAAATCACGTAATGTGTTGAAATGGTCTCACTCCCCATGCTTTTTGCTGGCTGGCAGTCCAGATGTTTGGTGCTCTTCTGGGACCATTTAAAGTTAGATCCAAGTTGGGGGGGGGGATTCCATCTGCCTGAAACTTTGGAAAGCAGCTGGTATCGCAATAGAGAGGGCTGGACTAACGGTCTAACTCAGTGGTTCCAAACTTTTTTGGTACGGTGACCCACAAGTCTAAATTCACTTGGTATGGTGACCCACTTTAAAAATCATGCACAAATCAGGAAAACTGCAAAAGCCTTTGACCCAGTTTCACAGCCTTCATGATCCCCTTTTGGACTGGGACTCACATTTTGGGAAACACTGGTCTAACCTGATATACGCCAGTTTCATATTTTAACTTCCAATATTTTTTGATTAATTTTTATTTGTTTTATCCATCACTTTTACATTCCATATTATTTAGCATCTTACAATTTTTCCTCCTCTTCCCTTCCCTCCCTCCTCCCTTCCCTATCATCGTGTAGTCCTTAGTCTTTTCTCTCCAGCCACGGGCACAAAGTCAAGATCTTCCAGCAAATGTCTTCCCTCCCCTCCTTGGAAATCCACTCCAGATAGGTCCTCCACCTTTTCCAAATTTCTGCGGATTTCCCTTCCCAGGGTGCCTCCTTGCGCAGGACTGCCGCGATGTCAGACTGTATAAAATCAAACAGATAGCTTTTTAATTTCCAATATGAGGTTTCGTGGTCTGCTTAAAACTTTGGTGCTGGTTTTGCATCTGGGGAAAAAGGCCTGTTTTTCTCTTGGTCTGATGAGGTGGGCTTTGAAAGAAGCTGAATCCCCTTTCCTTCCCTCCCCAACCTGGTCGTGTTTGCATCAGTTGCATCACAGTAAACCTAGTGTATTATGAATTTATTGAATATTATTTACTGAATGGACTTTTAATCCACCCATTCTTCCAAAGAGTTCAGGGCAGTGCACATGGTTCTCTTTTCCTCATTTTATTCTCACAACAACCCTGCGAGGTAGGTTGCTTAGCCTGAGAGAGAATGAATGGCTCAAGGTCACCCAATTAGTTTTGTGGCAAGTAGGGATTTGAATCTGGTAATGAAAAATGGTACAGCGACATCCACACTAGGTCTCCCTTTCCTCCTCTTTCCCAGGACAAAGGAATCCTAGGCAGCCTGGGTACCAACTCGGGAGGCAACAAGCTTCCCGGAGCTGTGATGGTGCAGACACCCTACGTGCAGGAGGAGCGCCTTGCCCGGCCACCCCCTGCAGCCACTCCTTCTACCATGGATATCAATGGCAGGTGAGTCTGGCACTGTAACTGGAAGTATCGTCTCATTGGAAGAAAATGATTGGCAGTGAGCAGAATCCTCCCTTTGTATGCAATTGACTGGTTTTTATCTACAGAAAATGAATACGATAACTTTCCCTACTTCCCTTGGAAATTGATGCTGTGCCCACATCTCCATTGTGTGCCAGTTTCTTGAAATCATTGACTCGCATCCCAAGAGAGCTGTAAACCAGACTTGCACAGTGGGGCATTCCCACTGACCACTGAGAAGTCAGGATCCTGAGGAACAGCATAGGGGCACATGGGGGGGGGGTCTGCAGTGGGAGGGGGGAACTGGCTAACCAGGGTGACAATCCTTCACTGGAAAGAGGTCATAGGGTATGAGCCACCTTTTAAAATTGTTGTGTTAAATTGTTACTTCCTTGGCTCTAAGGAGCCTCCAATGTACAGTTTAACCGTGGGGGGCAATGACAGTATAGCAGCAGAGACGAAAAGAAAGGGAGAGAATAAGGGTAGCAAGGGGCAAACATAGGTACATGAACTCACGTGGAGATGCGTACAAAGGGGCCAGGATGAAGGCATTGCCAAAAGTGGGTATTCAGAAGTGACTTGAAGCTAAAGCAGAAGGGAGATGGAGCCATGTAAGAGTTCTGGGAGAGAGTTCCATGCAGTCTTCTACGTTGTGATTTTAACTTAATTCAGTTTTTAGTATATGTCGTTTTAATGTATATATCTATTTTTATGTATTGCAAGCCACCCTGAGCCTGCCATGGTGGGGAGGGTGAGATAAAAATGTAATAAATAATAATAATTTAAAAAATAATCCTGGAAGGGGGGTTGGCAGCAGCAAAGAAGAATGGGCAGGATAGTTTGAGAGCAAGAGTGGCTGGCTGAAGTGGGTGCAGTTGGGATACCAGGTTACACAAAGGGCGATATGTACTGGGATAGAACAGGGGAGGGGGAGAGAATGGGACAAGGTCATGGAAAGGGTTAAAAAAAATCACAGAGAGCTTTGGTGGATGTAGAAGAGGATGAGATACCAACATATAGATCTGAGGGAGGTTGTCGCACAGTGTCAGCAATGAGAGAGCAGAGTTCTTTTGGATTAAACCAAAGAAAAGATGCTGACTGTTGAAAACTGGGAGTGTGGCCTGAACTCTAATCCTTCAACTCCTAGAGCCTCAGTCCCTATCCAGAAATGGAGAAGGTTCAGAATCCTGTTGCTTTTGTTTTTTTCCTTTGGTGACGCAGGCATCTCTGAAGTCTGAGACAGTATCGGTTTATCAGATGAGACATTTCTGTTCAAATGGGCGTGAGTGTGAGCCCCCTTGACCTGGTCTCCAGAGCTTCCAAACTCTGTTAAATGGGTCTTCTGTAAAAGGCACAGGATGACCTTGATCACCTGTTGTCCTTAAAAGTAAATGAATGCTATGTGTATGTGTATTATATCTGATTCTACTTATTGTTTTGCTTGGCAGAACTGCTGAGGAAAGGGTTGCTTGCCTGTCTTTGCATTTTTAAATGTATGAAATTAGCTGCTGTGAGCCTCTACAGCAGGGGTGTCAAACCTACGGCCCATGGGCCAGAACCGGCCCGCCCAGGCCTTTAATCCAGCCCAGGAGTGGGGCTGTCTTTTCTTCCTCCTCCCCTGCCCATCCTCACTGTTCTCAGCTTGAGCTCCTGGGGAGTATAAAGAGCAGAGGGTGGGGCTGCCAAACTTCCCAGCCACTGCCCCCAGCCTCCGTAGTCCTTGTCATAGGTAGGAGTTTGGGGGGGGGTCCTTCTGCTGTGATCCTTGTGCTTCTTTTTTAGTTTAAAACTGGATTTGCAAAATCCCACTATCCCCCCACTTTTCCAGTTTAGGCAGGCACGTTTTAAGTGAATGGGGGGGGGAGGTTTGGGATGAGCCAGGGTTAAAATATAGAGTTCTGCAAGCTGAAGGGATTCCAGTTTTGCAGAGAAACACAAATTTTAACATGCATCCCCTCCTAATGTGGAGTTTCAGTGGAATAATGATAGAACAAGTGCTGATGAGGACAACCAAAATTATTATCTCAAACCACCCTGTAAAAAACCCGAGACCCTGTGTCCTTTATATAGCTTATTATATCTCTGCTACTTCGCATTGCATTTTATGACACACATGGCCCAACCCAACAAATCCAATTTATGTCAAATCTGGCCCTCCTGCCAAATGAGTTCGACACCCCTGTTCTACAGTTCTGATTCTTATAGTACATATGACTAGCCCTGCAGACAGAGAAGTGCAGGGAGCTTTGCACTTTTAATCTGAAGAGCACTCTGGTGTGTATAGTGTTCTGAGAAGATAGTCACAGTTTGCCCATTTGTTGTCTCTGGGAGGTTATTTTTTTGTCTTACATCAGCACGTAGAATGCAATGCAGAGTTTTAATTAATTTACTTATTTTTGTATTTTGTGTGTATGCATGTGTGCTTGCAAGCCTGGAAGTCCTGGTGACTTCTGGCAACCCCTAGTGGGGCTAGGATGCTTCAGAGAGGTGGCTCTGATATTACCTGCCTCTGCGTCCCAGCCAGTGCTCCCTCTAAGCTGTGGAGTCTCGTGAGCAAAAATTCTACTTTGTGAGCTACTGGCATTAAAGCTGTGAGCGAGCGATTTGGCTCCTGCGTAAATTAGTTTGCTCTGGAGCCATCCTGCCTGAGCTGAGACAAAAATGTGTGAGCCGGAGGCTAAAGAACTGTGAGCTAGCTCACACTCACTCAGCTTAGAGGGAACACTGGTCCCAGCCCTGGTATTCCTTGGCGGTTGCCCTTCCAAATATTTGCCAGGGTTGGCCCTGCTTAGCTTCTGAGATCTGATGAGATCAGGCTTGCCTGGGCTATTCAGGTTAGGGCGCAATGCAGAGTTTTTTGAGAAGCCAGTCCCTTGTTTCCTGATTCTGACATCTCTTTTTCTCTGCTCCCTTGTCCTCTAGGCCATCAGTGGTAGCCGCACAACCCTTCTACCCTCGTGGTGTCTTCCAAGCCCCATCACCTCAGCAGCAGATGTGGCAGCAACAGCAGCAGCAGCAGGCAGTGTCTATGCGTCTCCCGACCCCTTCGCGCTTCCCACAGCCGCCCCCCCAAGACTTAAGCCGTCAAGCTCTGGGTGGTCTTGCCCCACGCCTGACAGGTCCCGGAGAGCAGCTTCAGGCTTCAACCAGCACTCTAGGAGCCCAGTTCATTGAGCTAAGACACAATATCCAAAAAGGAGTGGGTGCGAGCGGAACAGGCCCAGCTTTTGTCCAGCAGAATCCCCAGGTTCGACCCAGATTCTTTCTGCCTGGAAATGACAGCACTAACCAGGCTTTGAAAGCTGCTGTTATGCCCATGCAGGCCCCCGTCCTGGGAACTCAAGGCATGCAGGCTCCCAAAATGTCAGTCTCTATTTCATCCTCCCCTCAGGGGGCAGAGGTAAGCAACAACCATCACCCTCATGCCAAGGCTGTGCCCCAGTTGATTCTGCCCCCTGGAAACTTGGAGATGCAACATGCCCCACCCCGTCCACTCTCTTCGTCTGGCCCCAAAGAGGTGACCGTTCCCCCATCTGCCATAGACACTCCTCCAGCTGCTGGCAAGAACCAGTTAGGTCTGGCTGGTAGGCAGTTACCCTGTGAAGTGCCAGTGGAGCCAGATTTAGACGATGACTTTGATTCCCACAAAGATCTGGAGGATGACGATGACTTGGCCAACTTGAGTCTTGATCCTGATGTTGCCAAGGGTGATGACGATCTTGGCAACCTGGACAATCTGGAGACCAATGACCCGCACCTCGATGACCTGCTGAATGGTGATGAATTTGACTTGTTGGCCTACACGGATCCAGAGCTGGACACTGGGGACAAGAAGGACATCTTCAATGAGCATCTGCGTCTGGTAGAATCTGCCAATGAGAAGGCAGAACGTGAGGACCTGCTGAAGAAAGAGCCCTCTGTTGGACCCTACCTCAAGGATGGTCCTTCCACTGGTCCTGGCAAGCCAGGTGAACCGAAGGCGGAATTACTGCCCAGAGATGGTGTGCCCAAAGCAAAGGAGGGACTGAACCTTCTCAATGTTCCTTGCTCTTCCTCTGCAGGGGCACCTCCACCCATCCTTTCAACCTTCAAGACCCACAGTGACATGCTGGACAGCAAACTGGTTAGCCTGCCAGCTGATATAAAGCCTAAGATAGAGGAGGGCTGCCTGAAGCCCTCCCCTTGCCAGTTTAATACCGCTGAGAAGCTTGCTGTCAAATCTGAGGCAGCTGAAAAAATGGCTGCAACCTTAGCAGTGAACATCAAGGCTGGCCAGAACCTCATGAATCCTGGACCCGGAGGTCCTGGAATACGGCTTAGCATGACCCAGTTCCACAGCAACAGCCATACTTCCATCTCGGATAAGGTCCTGTACGGCACCCCAGGCCGCCCACCACTTACTCCCAGCCAGATGACCAACACAAATAACTCAGTCCTGGAAAAGTTTGAGCTAGATGGAGGGTCCTTGAGCCTGGCTAATACCCAACAGCACTCTCCAGCTGACGATCTAGATAAGATGGAAAGTTCCTTGGTGGCCAGTGAGCTGCCTCTCCTGATTGAAGACCTGCTGGAACACGAGAAGAAGGAGCTGCAGAAGAAGCAGCAGATGTCTGCCCAAGTGCCGGGGGCACCCCAGCATCTCCAGCCCCACGCCATGTTAGCTCACCCCACTCCCCCTAGCCAGCCTCATGACGGGCAGCTGGTAAGCCCCCAGCAGCAACAGCAGCAGCTGCAGTTGGGCGTTGTGGCCAGGCAGCAGGGAATGGTAGCCAGTCAGCAGCTGATGCAGCAGCAGCAGCAGCGTTTGGCTGGTCCTCAGCAAAGCCAAGTATTAGCCCCACACATGGGAGTGACTCAGAACCAGGCTCACCTGCTTGCCACGCAGCACAGCATCCAAGCAACACATGGTCAACAGAACCAGCAACAGGTCTTGGCTCAGAAGCCCATGCCGGGAGTCCAACTGCAGCCACCACCACAGCAGCAGCAGCAGCAGCAGATGATGGGGCTTAAGCCCCAACAGCTTGTGATGCAGCAGCAGCAGCAACAACAGCAGCAGCAGCAGCAGCAGCAGCAGCTGGCGAACAGCTTCTTCCCTGATACAGGTAGGGAATAGACTTCTGCATCACTGGTTTGTTTTTACTTTGGATCATGACTGTTCCTTGGTTTATCCCCTCAATAACTTCTAGGTCTGTTAGAGAGCCAGTTTGGTGTAGTGGTTAAATGCACAGACTCTAATCTGGGAGAACCGGGTTTGATTCCCCACTCCTCCACATGCAGCTGCTGGGTGACCTTGGGTCAGCCACAGTTCCCGCAGAGCTGTTTTCTGAGAGCTCTCTCAGGCCCACCTACCTCACAGGGTGTCTGTTGTGGGGAGAGGAAGGGAAGGAGATTGTAAGACGCTCTGAGTGAAGGGCGGGGTATATATCCAATTTCTTCTCTCTTCCTCTTCTAGAAGGGAAAATACCCGACTCCCAAAAGGCCTCTATCCTTCTTATGCCACAATCTGATAGAAAAAGAGCCCTTGAAAGATTGTTCCCCTCTTTTTCCCCTTCTAGTCTGCATCCAAAGCTTCATTCCCAAAGCAAGGTGGAGAGAATGTCTCAGAAGCCTCAAAAAGAACACATTCATTTAAGCAGGTGAAGCAGTGTATGAGCATTGACTTAGATGGATCAGGCTAGCCTGATCTTGTTAGCTCTTGGAAGCTAGGCAGTGTCGGTCCTGGTTACTACTTAGATGGGAGACCACCAAGGAATGCCAGGGTTGCTATGCAGAGGCAGGAAATGGCAAAATCACCTTTGTTCGGCTTTTGCCTTGAAAATACTTCAGGGTTGCCAAAAGTTGACTGTGGCTTGATGGTGCTATCCACCACCAAGGAACATATGGATTTTGATTTTAAAAGTAACCAGTTAAAGCAGTTCATTCCTTAAAACACACACACACACACCAAAAAAAGCGCAGACGATTGTTTACAAAAAATATGTGACCAGTTGGTGACCCTAGTGCTTAGCTGATGATAGCCACCCCTCTGAGTTTCATTTGTAGAATTCATGGAGGAAAGGTCTGTCAGTACCTACTAGCCAAGGCGACTGAGGAGAACCTCCACGTTCAGAGGCACTAAACCTCTGAATCCCAGAGCCAGAAGGCAATGTCAGACCAAGGTCTCAGCCTCTGTGCCCTGTTGTTGGCCCTCTAGGGGAACTGGTTGGCCACTGTGTGAGACAGGATGCTGGACTAGATGAACCACTGATCTGTTAAAGCAGGGCTTATGTTCTTACCTGTCTGTCCCACTATATACCTAGAGAGACTCTATTCATGCAGTTGTGGCTGGTTCACTGCCTTGGCCCAGTGTTTTGGAATATAGTCTAGGGATAGTTTCATACAACTAGTTGTATGTGGATCTGACTGGCCATCGACAGAACTGGTTTTCTGAATCCTTCAGCCATGCAGTGAAACAGCTATTGCACCCTCTTGGAAACCCAGGGAAGTGCTCTTGTGCTGGGAACAGTTCCTTTACCATATGCCTGCTCACTATAGATGGTTGGTTATCCATGAAGCTTTAGCTTCCCTGCTCACGTGTAATTGGGCCCCATTTTGCACATCAGTGAAGTAAGACTAGCTTTCTACTGTCATTTGGAAGAGAGGACCCTTTTTGAAGGTGGCAGTGGAAGGTGTATCTCCAACCAGCCAGCTTTGTTTTAAAGTAGAGATGCCAGTGAGGCATCGAAGGGACAACTCAGACATTGCCCAGCGGGCATGGGAGGATGGGAAAATAGCACCTTTAAGCCTCATTGTTTCCCTTTTGGTCTCCTTTTTCTGTACAGATCTGGATAAGTTTGCTGCAGAGGACATTATGGATCCTATTGCCAAGGCCAAGATGGTGGCTTTGAAGGGTATCAAGAAGGTCATGGCTCAGGGCAGCATTGGAGTAGCTCCTGGCATGAGTCGGTATGTACCAAGTCAAGAGGCTGAGGCAGTAGTGTGTCTTCAACCTGTAGTTTCCAGAGTCTCAGGGGTGTGACAGCAGCTGCTAGGGAAAAGTAGGAGCTCATTCCTGGAAAGCATCATTGCCATAAAAATTCAGAATTTTGTGTATATCTTGATTTTTCCAGGAGCCGGATTATAGGCTTACACTATATGCCATAGTCACAACTGCTGTAACACCAAATGCCTCTTAACTCATAACGATTATTGCTTGGTAGGCCAAGAGGTCACATGAAGTTCCCTTAGACAGAAGCAGGTGATTGGTCTGTTGAGGTCAGTGTTGTCTGTTCTGATTGGCAGCAACTCTCCAGGGTCTCAGGCAGAAGTCTTTCAGACCACCCACTACCTGATCCTTTTCACCTAGAGATGATGGAAACCTGGGTTCTTCTGGGCCTGCAGAGCAGATGCTCTGCCACTAAGCCACAGCCCCCTCCCAAACAATTTCAGTTCATCGGAAGGGGACGGGATTTGCCAAGTTGGCTCCTGTGAAGTCTTTTCTTTGGGAGACTGCAGGTATACATAAGAACATAAGAACATAAGAGACGCCAATGTTGGATCAGGCCAAAGGCCCATCCAGTCCAACACTCTGTGTCACACAGTGGCCAGAAATACCAGTGCCATCAGGAGGTCCAGCAGTGGGGCCAGGACATTAGAAGCCCTCCCACTGTTGACCCCCCCCCCAAGCACCAAGAAGACAGAGCATCACTTGCCCCAGAGCCCCTAGCTATACCTTGTGGCTAATAGCCACTGATGGACCTCTGCTCCATATGCTTATCTAATTCCCTTTTGAAGCCGTCCATGCTTGTAGCACCCACCACTTCCTGTGGCAGTGAATTCCATGTGTTAATCACTCTTTGGGTGAAGAAATACTTCCTTTTATCCGTTCTAACCCGACCGCTCTGCAGTTTCATGGAGTGCCCACGAGTTCTCGTATTGTGAGAAAGGGAGAAAAGTACCTCTTTCTCTACCTGCTCTTTCCCATGCATAATCTTATAAACCTCGATCATGTCACCCCTCAGTCGTCTTTTCTCCAAGCTAAAGAGCCCTAAGCGCTTTAACCTTTCCTCATAGGGAAAGTGTTCCAACCCTTTTATCATTCGAGTTGCCCTTTTCTGCACTGTTTCCAAAGCTATAATATCCTTTTTAAGGTGTGGTGCCCAGAAGTGGCCCGTGCCGTCCTTTCCCCCTCTCCATCCAGTTAATCTCTCTCTCTCTCTCTCTGACCCTCACTTAGAGGCAAGGATGACAATCGGGTCTTCTTTGTTTTGCCTCAGCAATGCTTGGAGAAGCTTGGAAATGTTGATTCAAACTGACTTGCCTTTGAGAAGCCCTGATTTATTAATTGATTGATTGTATTTATGAATCACCCAATCCCTACCACAGCAGGGCTCTGGGTGATGTGCAAAAGCCATAAAAAAGACAAGATAAAACCAGCTAGAACATTAATAAAACGTTTCAACAATCAGATGGCGAGTAATTAATAAATCCTAATTCCAACTGCTGGCTCCTTCGCAGGCAGTGGGGAAGAGGGCGAGGTAGATGTAAATAACAGAGGACAGAAAAGGGTGCCAGCCAAGATGGAGCCGACACTGGCCTCAGCCAAAAGCCTGGGGGAGCAGATCTGCGTTGCAGGTCCTGCAGAACTTCATCGGATCCCGCGGGGCCCTGGCGATGCCTGGCAGAGAGTTCCGCCAGGTTGGAGCCAGGAGGACCGGAAAGGCCCTGGCCCTGCTCGAGGACAGCCGGATGGCTTTGGGGCTGGGACCACCAGCAGATTGCTGTCTGAGGAGCACAACGCTCCTCTTACTGCTGGGGAAATATTGACTTCATTTGTATTCCGTGTATCATTCTCTGCTTTCAGGCAACAGGTTTCCCTGCTGGCTCAGAGGCTGTCTGGAGCTTCAGCTTCATCTGAAGTGCAGAACCACATCCCGCCTGGCTCTGGAGGGCAGGTGAGCAGGGGCTGACAGGCCTTAGGAAAATCTCAGGTTATTTGTTGTTGGTAGGGATGAGGAGCACTCCTTGCTTAGGTGGTCTCCTTGGTACTGGCTAAGAGCTTAGGTGGGTGGGAGGGAGTGGTGGTGGTGTTCGAACTGTGTAGTGGTGGGAGGAGAGGGACTATGGATGGGTATGACTGGATGTTCTGATTCTTTCCAATCCCTTGCAGGAACGGAGCACCGACCCGACTCAGGCTCATCCAAACCCTCCCACTTTTGCTCAAGGTGTCATCAGTGAGTAGCCCCGTAGTGCAGATCTCAGGGAATTACTTTAAATGCCCTGTGTGTTGCTTGCATTAAGGTAGCATCCCAAGCTTCCTTTCCTGCTCAACTGGGCTCTCTCATATACAAGCCCAGACCAGTTTGTTGCAGGTCCGTACCACCCTCCTGGTTCCAAAACAATTATTACCGCTATTGAATCCCCTTGATCAGTTGTTAAAATCCTACCTTTTTAGCACTGTTTGGTCTCCTTGCAACTGCAAGTATAAAAAAGGGTGGTTACCAGAAGGCAGAACAGTTTTGTTGAATGTGCTTGCTTGCTTGTCGTAACCAAGAGGGTCTGAGCTGGAGCAACAACAAGTATTTGGCATTTCTTGGTTGCCATAGTCACTTGTGGGTAGGAAAGGTCTAGTGGAGGTTTGTGAATGGGTGAGCTGCAGTGCTGCCTGCTTCCTGTGACTCAGCATAATGGGGAATAGCATGTCTTTTGTGTCCCTCTCCTGTGGAGTGCCCCTGCGTTCATGTCTGTCTCCTGTCCCTTGATTATCTGTATTCGTTGTTATCATATTGCAAAAAAAAAAAAGCAGAACCCCAGAACCTTTCAATGCAAAGCAAGTCAACGTGGAAACCCTGCTTTGGTCCATGTAGTATCTTTTATTTTTGAAATGCAGAGTTTAGATCATTGGTTTCCCCACCCCCCTATACAAAGCATGACCTGGCCTGTGCTTGTGCTTCCTGTCTCATTACCCAGATGAAGCCGATCAACGTCAGTACGAAGAGTGGCTTTTCCACACGCAGCAGCTCCTGCAGATGCAGCTGAAGATTCTGGAAGAGCAAATAGGAGTGCACCGCAAATCCCGCAAGGCCCTGTGTGCCAAGCAGCGGACAGCTAAAAAGGCAGGCCGGGAGTTCCCGGAGGCCGATGCAAAAAAGCTCAAGTTGGTGACTGAGGAGCAAAGCAAGATCCAGAAACAGCTGGATCAGGTAAGCAGCCATGCCAGGGCTTCTGTCGGCTTGGCTTGGAAGCAATTTTCTTGGTATGACTTAAGGACGCCCATAGACAGATCAGAGGGCTTATGAAAATGGCAATAAATTTTTGTTTGTTTTGGAGTGGGGGACACTTGAATGGGAGGGGTTATGGGTAGAGGAGATTAAAAGTTGCTGTGAGATCTAAGACTGGGAGAGGGAGAAGGAAAGCAAGGAGAGAGTTAACCCAGGTTGCTGAGCACAGAGAAGCAGTGGTGTTATTTGCAGATGGGCTGGAAAGGAAGTGCTGTTGCATGCTGCTCTGGGTGTATCTGGTCCGCTCAGCAAGTATAAGATGTGAAGCAGAGTTTGAACATCCTGAGAACGTCAGCTTCCTTTACAAGGGGGGGGGGGGGACATTTCTGAGCTGAGCAGATTTTCGAATCACAGGGAGGGGAGAGCAAGGAAAGGGTAGATGAATTATTTCTCTGCGCTGATGCTCCCTCCACCCCCACCCCCCTTTGACAGGTTCGGAAGCAGCAGAAGGAGCATACTAACCTCATGGCTGAGTACCGCAACAAGCAACAGCAGCATCAGCAACAAACGTCCACCGTCTTGGCCCTCAGCCCCTCGCAAAGCCCCCGTCTCATGACCAAGCTCTCTGGCCAGTTGCTGTCCGCACATGGTCTCCAACAGGGGCCACAGGGCTTAGCAGGCCAGGCCAGTGGCTTGCGGCTTCCTCAAGCCACCACCATGGCGGTGCAGCAGGGCTTGTCGTTCATGGGGCAGCAGCCGCAGCAGCCGCCGCCACCGCAGCCTCCCGGGGGTGCCACCTCCAACAACTTCTTTCCCAGCAGTCGTCTCCTGCAGGAGAGGCAGCTGCAACAGCAGAGGTTGCAGTTGGCCCAGAAGCTGCAGCAGCAAAACCTCATTGGACAAGTGTCGATGCAGCCGCAACAGCAGCAGAGCCTCATGGGACAAATGGCCATGCAGCAGCAAGGCCTCATGGGACAGGTCTCGGTGCAGCAACAGCAAAGCCTCATGGGTCAGGTCTCGGTACAGCAGCATCAGCCGCAGAGCCTCATGGGACAGGTCTCGATGCAGCAACAACCCAGCGCTATCAGCCAGACTGGCTTGATGGGCCAGCCCCCTCCTCCACCGCCCACCCCCCAGCCCAGCCAGAACCTGCTCCCTAAGCAGCAAGGACTGCTGAACAGCCAGCCAGGAGTCATGGTCCAGCAGCTCTCCCCTCAGCAGCAGCAGCAGCAGCAGCAGGCCATGCTTGGGCACTCCATGCTGCAGCACCCAGGGATGATGGGTCACCAAGCTTCACAGAGGCAAATGCTCTTGGCTCCGCAGCAGCATCGGGCGCTGGGATCTCCTCAGCAGCTGACCCAGCAGGCGCAAGGCATGATGGGGCACCGGCTGCTTTTGTCGCAGCAGCAACAGCCGGGGCTGCTTGGGCAGCAGAGGACTTTGCTGAGTCAGCAGCAGCAGGGCTCGATAACACAACACCCGGCCCTTCTGGGTTGGGCCAGGGGCAGGCCCCCCAGGGAGGGTTAATAGGGCAGGCTGGTCAGCAAGGTGCCCTCGGCCAGGGGCAGGCCCCCCAGCCAGGGTTGTTGGGGCAGGCTGCTCAGCCCGGGGGCCTGGGCCCAGGGCAGGGTATAGCCGCGGAGCCTATCCAGCACTTTGCGCAGCACGGGTCTCTGAACCAGCCGCTGCACTTGAGTCAGGGAATGCAGCCGGGCCCATCGCAGCAGGGCCTGGTTGTCAAGGAGCAGCAGGGAGGGCCAGAAGGCAGCGCCATGCCGCCTCAGGAGGGGGCAGACGGCGTGCAGCAGCAGGTGCTGCGGCCCCATCTGGTAAGTCAGGACCTGGGGGGGCAGTTGCAGCTAGGCACCCAGGAGCCACAAGGGATGGCCAGCCTTGGAGCCCCTCTGCAGGAGCAGCCCTCCCAGCTGATGCTTCAGCAGCACGGGGAGCAGCAGAAAGCTCCAGCAGAGATGGGCCAGGCGCAGCAGCACCTTCTCCTGGGATCTCAGGGCTCGCTGCAGCTACGTATGCAGCAGCAGCAGCAACAAAGCAGCCTCCTGCAACAGCCACTGCGGACTCACCTGCCCATGGATGGTTCCCTACAGCAAGAAGTGTCTCAGCAGCACCATCGCGATGCAACTCAGGGCCCCCATTTGCTAAGCCAGCAGATGGAACCGCAAGGTCAGGTGCAAAATATCATGGCCCAGCAGCAGCAGCAGCAACGGATTGCCGGTCAGAGCCTGGAGCAGCCTTCCAAAGGCTTGCCAGGGCAGCTTCCGCCCCAGCAGCAACACCACCACCACCACCAGCAGCACCATCTCCACCACCATCAGCACCTTCAGAGCCCAGCGGGTCCTCCAAAAACACCAGGGCTGATGGTGCCGCAGCAGCAGCAGCAGCAAAGCATGATGGTCCAGCAGTCCTTGCCCCAGGGCCAAAGCATCCTGTCCAGCCCGGTCATGGGCCAGATCCGCGCCCAGCTCCAGGGGGTCATCTCCAAAAACCCCCAGCTGCGGAATCTGACTCCTCAGCAACAGCAGCAGCTGCAGGCTCTGCTGATGCAACGGCACCAGCAGAACCTGCTGCAGCAGCAGCAGAACCAAGCGTTGCGACAGGCCAGCCCTTACCAAGGGCAGGCCCAGGTGTCGCTTGAGCCGTGTCAGCCCGCTGCTCAGCAGTTGTCCCTGCCGGGGGCTGCGGCACAGCATCCGCAGAGACAGTCACCCCTTGCGGTGTTTCAGATTCGTCCAGAGCAAAGTTTCACTGCCTCTGTGGAGCAGCAGAGGGTACAGGTGAGCCAGCAGGCAACGAGTAGTCCCCAGCAGCAGGGGGTGTTAAGACTTCCCACTCCTCAGGCTTCCTCTGTGCCCTTGAGCATTGCTGGTGTGACCCCCACTGCCCAGCAGCATCCTAGCCCTTCAGAGCCAAAGAGACCCTCCCCTGTGATCTTAGCTAAAAGCCCGGAGCAGCAGCTGACCCCCGCTGAGAAGAAACAGCCTGCTACCCCCAGCCCCCTGCTTCCCCCTGACCCGGCCCCTTTTGCCCCAAGCACAGAGGAGATCGTTACGGGGACCTGCGGCCTCAGGGACTCAGCGTGCCCCACCAAAGACTCTGCAGAGAAAGGCCCTGTCAACGGGCAGGTGGTGGGATCTGCCTCTCCCCCAGTAGGAGGAGTTCCAGCCCCTGTGGGCGATCTTCTATCCATCACCATCAAACAGGAACCCAAGGAGGAGGCAGCGCAGTGTGCCCTGATGAGCAGCACCCAGCCGGTCAAGCACGAGGCCAATGGTGACATGGTGTTGACGGCAGCCACAGTTCCCGCTACCACGAATAGCCTCGCCCGGTCTGAAGCTGGCCACCTCCTGTTGCAGAAGCTGCTGCGGGCCAAGAACGTGACGCTTGCAACACAACGCTCAGGGGATGTCAATGGCCACGTGGATGGCAAAGTGGCCGGAGTGGAGGGCCGTGTGCAAGCAGTCCCGGATGTAAGAGCGGTGAGCATACACAGAAAGGAGGAAGCGTCAACTGGGTTTTGTTTTATTGTTAGTGTAGTGCTCTTACCAGGCGCCACTGTAGTCCTTCAGTAGCCCACCCTTCTGTTGACCTTTGGCCGGGGAGCAGAGAAATCCAGGTGTTTGTGAGAACACCGTACAGCAGATATTCAGATAGCATTATTACCACTACAGATTACAGTGGGAGAGGGGGGGTTAAGCAGCATATTCCTGTCCCTCATCATGATTGTGGTGAGGGAATTGTGTTGTATTTAGTGTCTCTTTAAAAGTTCAGAAAGGATTTGTCGGGGTTGTGGCCACTGGCTCATTGTCAAGTCAAGGTTTGCCCCTAAAGTTGCTATTACCATTCCCTTTTCCCCAGGAGTTCCATGTATTATTTAGTTTTTTAACGTGAGTTTTTCTGGTTGCAGATTTTAGAGTTGGGTTCAGAAATCCAGCCCCTCTTTTCCTTTCTACCTCCCCCCCCCTTATTGATCCTGCTTCTAACCGTTGTGCCCACCCCTTCTTATTACCTTCCTAAAAGTCTTTCCACTCCTTGTTCCAACTACCTCCATCCACTTCCTCCTGAGCTTGTTTTCCTCACCAGTGGGGACAGCATCTGTGCCTTTTCCATGAGGCTAATTAAATATTGGATTCTTTGAGCCCTGAGAGGTGGCTGTGCCCTTTTGAACAGCTGTTTGCTCATCTGTCTCAGAATGCCTGATAGTTCTTCTAAAGGCTGGCGCCCAGCTTAAAAGAAAAAGAGTGACAATTCTGTGTAAAATTTCCCTCTGTTTTTCTTCTTCACCTCCTCAAACCTGTCTGCTAAACTTTCTGCAAGAGGGCTGCAATCCCATATGGGGCCTCCTAGTTTTCCTCTTTTATTCCTGTTCTATCCCTTCCCCTACAGCCCCGAAGAAAGGAACTGCCTCCACTTCTCTTTGTGCTCCCTGGGAGAGATCTAATTCAATTTCTGGCATTTTTTCTCTCCTCTTTCTGATTGATCCTGACCTGGGAGAAAAGGCTGCCTGGAGAGCCCTTGGCCAAGGTGCCCAATTTAGTGGAAAGCCAGCAAACATAGGGTACATTCCAGCATCAGTTTGTACCCAACCAACTGCAACAGAGCTTCCCTTGTGGAATGAAGCTTTCCCACCTTCTGCTGCAGCCCCTAGAGCACTGGCCCCATGGTTCACAGGAGCCCTAGAACGCCACTGGGCATAATATTGGGGAGGTCTGCAGTGGACCACCCCTGCTGCCAGAAAACGTTGGATACAACCCCCTTATATAAAGCTTGGTTATTCTTATGGAAGTTTCAAAGTGTAACTTCTTTTGCTGAGAACAGCTATGCCAACTGATTTGCAGAATAACTGATTTGTTGAAATTTCAATCATGTGCCTCTAAGAGGCATTCCAAACATTGGAATGAGGCAGTAGAAAGCTGGATTGTGCAACTTCAGATTGTTCAGAGGGGAAAGGTTTGAAAACTTCCACACATAATACAGCCATACGGGGAATCTGTCAGATTTATATTATGTGACATACAAGCAATCAGAGATGCAAGCTTAGTGTAGCTTTCTGTCTGATGTGTTGAATTAAATTTTAAAAAAAAGCGAGGAAGCATTCAGAAGTACATCTTCTCACCTTCAGTCTGGAGTAGTACCATCTGGAGTTGTACCACTTCACTTTGCATAATGTGTAGATTGAAAGTCAGACCCAGTCAAGGGGGCGAATGGGTGTTACAAAATGGTTTTTCCAGGAAGGAAGATGCATAGAAATCTCGTAGAAAATTTCCACCGGTAAAAGGGTGTGTGTGACTATTTAGTTATACTGATTTCTCCCTCCCAGTGCAAAGCCTCTGACTCCACTGTCATGATGTTCCTGAGAGTTTCCCTTTCCTGCGGAGTAGCATTGAGGGGGTGTTTGGGACTGTGGGAGGATACAGTAGAGGGACAGTCAGGTGTACTGACATCCCCTCCCTCAGCAGAAATCTCAGGTGGTCCGAGCTTACATTGGCATGCTGAAGCACAAAATGTCATTCCTGTTCCCTTTTGGCACCTTTCCCTGAAGGATATGGTAGCTGCAAAGAAACCGCCACCTCCCAAGCCCAAGCGATGTCAAAAGGCTGGAGAGCGACTTACCAACTCCCGCAAGAAGCTGCGCAAGGAGGATGGGGTGAAGTCCAATGAAGCCCTAATGAAACAACTCAAGCAGGTACACCTTACAGCTGGTACACCTTGCAGCTGCCTAGGTCTTCCATGACAAAGACTCAGTCTGGGTTCTCCACACACCACATTTGAACTCCCCACATTCAGAAGAGTACAAGTTAGAAACAAGTATTGCTACAGCTGCCCTTCAGCAGCCCCTTTGGTGACTCCCCAGCCACCACATCCCTGAATTTTGCACCATCAGTCCCTCTCCTCCTTTGACAGCCTCATACATGGTGATGATAATTCTGAGGAAGCTAGAAGAGAGTTGAAACAGCATTTTCCTTTCAACCCTGAACTACACTTACTAATGAGTTGTAAAAGATAGTCGCCACTTGCAGGAGGGCGCAGAAATAGGGATGTGTGCCTCAGGGGGAGGAAGTATTTTCAGATTTCAAGAAGGGCATAAATACTAGTATTCTATGGTATTCATGTTCCCCTGGTGGCATTTTGGGATTCAGGTTCAGGTTTTTCCAGGATTCTGGAATGAATTGGGTTCCATTATTCCCCATGGGAGACCCTTTTCGGGGAGTCTGGAGTGGCTGGTTTTCAACCAAATGACACCAAAATTGCAGGGGAGAAGAGCTAGTGCTGTCTGTCCACTAAAGGCCCCCTAAGTTTCAAGCAAGTTGGACCAAGAGTCCAGTTCTACAGGTCCCTGAACAAGATGCTCCAAGCAGGGGTGCAAACTGGGAGTGAAAAACAGCCTTGGAAAAGGGTCCCATCCCCACCAAGGTTGGGAGGGAAGGGGAAGAAGTCAGCCAGACCCACAACTCTGCTGGGCTGGGTGAGATTCTTGCTGGCCACAAGCACTCTCCCTAGGCCAGGCAGGACTCTAATTGGGCACAAGCCGCCTTCCCAGTGCCTGGGAAACCTGTTAAACTAAAGGGCTTGTAGGAGTAGGAACATCTCCCAGCTCATTCATGTACACTGTGCAGGCTAGTTTCAGGAGACATGCAAGCAGGGCCATATGCAACCATCCAGGGAAGAGTAGATAGCTAACTTGTTATTCATTTTGAAGAGCTATATTCCTCCTTTGTGTGTGTGTGCGTCTTAAGGAAGCTGCTTAGCCATGACGATAAAAACAGAAATGCAGCCATGTAAATGCTAATCAAAACAGCAGAATGCATAACCCTCAGGGGTAGTAAGTGAAAAACAGCAATGCAGTGGCATGGATTTGTTAAAACTCAGAGTGGGAGGGGCCGAGAGCGAGAACACTTTAAAATAAAGAAACCACTCAGCTACCAAAGGCTCAGACAAACAGGACGCAGTGTAAACTAAGAGGGGGTGGTGGCAGCACCAGGCAAGCATCCCTTGGGATGGAATTTCACAAGCAAGACATAAGCACAGAAGAACCACTAGTAGACACCAGCCTTGCTTAAAAAGACAAGGGAAGATAGACAGGATTATATCGGTGTAGCTGGTCCTTTCTCCTAATCCAGGCTGGAAGCCAGTGAAGCTCTGTGCGCATTGGCAAAATGTGTGCATCACCACATGTCCTGGCTAATAGCCCAGCCGCATTATTTTGGACTGCTTGAAGTTTCTGAAACCTTTTCAAAGGTAGCTTCAAATGCAGTACATTAAGGTAATCTGGTCTGGATGGTGTTTAGGAATGGATCACTATGGCAAGCCTATTTTCCAGAATGGGTCACTGCTGGCATACCATTGAGAGTTACTGGGAAGCACTCTTGGCCAGTGTTCCCTCTGAGTTAGTGTGAGCTAGCTCACAATTTTTCAGCCTCCGGCTCGCACATTTTTGTCTTAGCTCAGGAAGGATGGCTCCAGAGCAAACTAATTTATGCAGTAGCCAAATCACTTGCTCACAACTTTAATACCAGTAGCTCACAAAGTAGAATTTTTGCTCATCGGACTCCATAGCTTAGAGGGAGCATTGCTCTTGGCTACAGATGCCATGTTTCGTAAGCAATGCAGGATCTAATCACATCTCCCCAGGCTGTGACCCTGATCTTGTAGGGGAAGTGCAACCGTGTCCAGCATTGGTTGGATACCACCTTTATGGCCTGGCAGGCTGCCTCCCAATGTGACTAGCTTGTCTGAATTATTTTAATTTATTTATGCACTCACCCCAATCCATCCCATTACTGATTCCAGCAGCCCCTAAAGGATTGATAGTGCATTAAATGTCGTAACTAGAGTCCTGTTGACTGGGAGAAGGACCAAAACATGGGTCTTTACTTAAAAGGAGGGGAAGAAATCAGTTAATCATTTTATTTCAGCTGGTTAATCATAGGTTATATAGAACAAATATAAAGCTGCCATAAACTAAGGAAGTCAATTGACATAACTTCTAGCTATGCAACAATGCAAATACAATAAAATATTTACTGTATCTCAGATCGGAGCATCTCAGTTTCAATAATCAAAACGGATAAAGATTGGTATGACACAGCTTTTCATAATGAAGTTTAACTACATAGAGACAGAATGATGGTGTTGCTCGCATTCCCCTTTACTGGTCATGTCCTACTTGTTCTGCTGTGTTTCTCCTGGTTGGGATTCCAACAATGGGCTGTCTAAGGTGAGTATGGGAGGCCTCCCATTGAGATGAATTGCCCGGTTGCATCAGGCCATGCCCAGCATCATGGTGGTGCAGCGGCTGCTAAGACAGGGAAGGAGATGCGGTAGACAGACTTCTTACAGGAATTGCTCCATACTTTCTTTCCATGGGGTACAGAATTGAAGCTGTGAGGTGTCAAGATTCGCATCGAAGAAAACAACTGAAGAAATTTTGTTAGACTGCATGGGGTGTAAGTGGCACGATACTGGATACAAAACAAAATTTACCCCCTCTGGAAGATGTTTGATCAAACTGTGTCTATTTAAATTTTGTGAGGGTTGCAGAGAATTAATTTTGCCTCCTCAGATGTCTATGAGGTTCTCCCTTCATACTGTCCTTGGGATGTCAATGTGTGAAATAGCCATCTCTCGAATTCAGTTCTCTCTTTCTCTTCCTCCATCCTTCAGGAGCTCTCCTTGCTGCCTCTGATGGAGCCTGTTATCACAGCCAACTTCAACCTTTTTTGCCCCTTCGGGAGCAGCCCCATCAATGGTAAAAGCCAGCTTAAGGGCTCTTTTGGTAACGCTGCCTTGGACAGCATTCCAGACTACTACTCACAGCTGCTTACCAAGGTAAGGCCAGCCCTGTGCCTCTTCTCAGCCTGCAGGGTCTGGCACGGTTGTTTGGAGTAAGGATGCCCCCCCCCCGGGGGGGGGGCCTACTGGAATGCTTGATGTCAGTTCTTGTTGCCATGCGTCTCCATAATGATAACTTGACTTTCATATTGGTGGCCATCATAGGAGTGAGAAAGAGAAAAAAAAGCTTTATAAGTTGATGAGGAATCGCTAAAAGTTTGCATGCATTTCTGGACAGGTCTAGCCCTGGTCAGGAACTAATTTTATTGGAAGGTGTTTCTTAAGGGAGGGGGGGAAGTGGTGAGCCAGGCCCCATTGCTTACAGCTATGATTCCATTCATTCTTCTTGCTTCTAGGATGGCAGTTGTGGGGCCAGATATTATTCCTGTCAGGTTGGAGGAGGTCTGCCAGGTGCCAGTCGCCATAGGGCTTTCATGCCTCATGTGGTTTGCAGATCCGTGTGTTGTGGCCACTCCGTCTGTACATTTTGTGCAGGGTGTGTCCCATGCTGTCCATGCATAGCTATGCCTCCGCCTGTTGGGAAGCCCATCCTGTTTCAAGCCCGTAACATTGTGGCAGTACTCACAGTGGTGAGGTCTTGTTGGGGAAACCAAAGGAGGACAGTTGATTGGATCCAGTCTGGAGGGAGACCACAAAGTGGGTCAGAGTAGCTGAAGTCTTTCCTGAGGTAAAATGATGCCACCGCTCCCCCCACTGATCATATGAGCTGTGGATGGGCCAGGTGTGATCCAGCTATGTTTCAAGGCATTGGAAAGGAAGAATCAGGCAGGGAACTGTGGTGGTTGCTGACTCCTTTGTTGTCCGTCTAGAACAATTTAAGCAACCCGCCAACACCGCCGTCTTCACTGCCCCCCACGCCTCCCCCCTCTGTGCAGCAGAAGCTGGTGAATGGAGTTATGTCTACTGAGGAATTGACTGAGCAGCGTAAGGACCCAGTACTGCCCCATGAGCCTGAAGGACAAAAGGGTAAGGTTGAGCTCTAGAACGATGGTTGTGTGAGTGTATGAGTATGGTTGTATATCACCGAATGATTGCACCTTTAATTTCGTTGTACTATGTACAATGACAATAAAGTATTATATGATGATGATGATGATGATGATGATGAGACCCAGTGTGGTCTAGTGGTTTGAATGTTGGATGAGAATTGGGGGAGACCCTGGTTCAAGTGTGCCCTTGGCTGTGAAGCTTGCTGGGTGCCCTTGGTTCAGTTTCACACTCTCAGTCTAACCCACCTGACAGTCTGGTTGTGAGGGTGAAATTGGGAGGTGGGGCATGTATATACCATCTTGAGCTCCTTGGAGGAAGGGCAAGATTAAAAATCTATATATTTCCAAATGGTCTAGGAGCCTCTGATGCTACAGCACTGTTGAAATTAAGCTTGTGTGGACCTGGTCGTTTTCTGGCTAGGTAGCCACTAGAAACCCTATGTAAGCCGTTCTTGACCTTTGTGGCAGAAGCGCAGGATAGAAGTAAAATAAATAAACCTGTGAGACTGAAGTGACTTGGGATTCATCCTGCAATTGATTACTCTTCCCTAGTAGTCAGCTGTATGAGTAAATTTGAAAAGGGAAAGGTGGGTGACAAGCAGTGGAGAATGGGACCACTTCTATGCTCTTTGACCCCTTAAGCAAGAGTTCTCTGTAAACAGATACTGCATCTGCATTACTATAGAGCATTACTAGGATTATTGTACAGTGTTTGGGCAAAAATGTAGCCCTGCCTTCTGAGCATCCCTTGACCCAGTGTTCCTTGTCCTCCCCCCCACCCTCTTTTGACAGATGCTCCCCCTGTGGAAGTGAAAAGTGTTGACCTCCTTGCAGCCCTTCCCACACCCCCTCACAACCAAACTGAGGATGTCAGGTAAGGACAGAGGAGGCCCGACAAAGCAAGGGGCAGAGTTCACGGTCGGAAGGGGAGAGACCATCTGAACACGCTGCAGCCATAGCCGTGGGTAGCAAGTGGAAGCTCTAGCATGAAGCACTGAACGTGTGAGGAAGCTGCCTTGTGAGGGCCGTAGTTCCAGGGCTAATGGATCTGCTGCCTCTGGAAGATCAAGACAACAGCCTTTAACAACAGAAGGAAGGGGGAATAAGTATAACTGGCCATTGTTTTCAGCAGAGGGGAATAGCACGCCCGCGTTTAACTGATTGCTAGAGTGGCTACAGTTGGACTTCTGTCTCCTGCTGTGGGTTTGGATCCTCCCTGAACCTCATTTGAAGGAGCAGAGCAGGGGTTAGCAGCAGCGGCCTTTCTAGACTCCTTGTCACCAGTCCCTCCAAACTCCTCTGCAGGATGGAGAGCGATGAAGAAAGCGACTCCCCCGACAGCATTGTCCCAGCATCGTCTCCGGAGAGTGTCCTGGGAGAAGAGATGCCACGCTTCCCCTTGCTGGCTGGAGCCAAGTCTGAGATGGAGGAGCGCCCGTTGTCACCCGTCATTCCTATCATCCCAAAGGCCAGCATCCCAGGTTTGTGGGGGGGTGGCCAGGGTGGGAGAGAGGGAATGCATGCTTGGGAAGGTGAGATATTGAGCAGTTGGTGGCCTGTTCAGCTGGATGGAATAGGATCTAAATTGCACCATTTTTATTGTCTGCAGGGGGGGAAATCCCAACGGCTTTGGTGGGTGTAAAGGGCATAAGAAGCTCTTTCTGTGAGGCATTTGTTATATGTCACTAATGGTTAACATGCATATACAATCTAGGTTGAGGGCTAACCTTCCTGAATATCTAGGGCTGGGTCTAAACTGTTCATTACTGTAATGATGGCACCTTCCACCAGTAGAAGATTCCTTGCATTTGGTGGAAGACTGCACCGATAGCAGATTGGAACCTTTTGAAGCCAGTTCGTATGTCTGTGCATAGAGTGTTCCTGATTCCCATCCCGTTTCTTTCCTGCCTGCTTCTCAGCTTTCCCAGATAACAAGCCCTATGTGGCACTGGAGCAGGTGGGGAAGGGGACACCAGGCACTTCGTGGGACAAGGCCAAGGGCAGCGAGGTCTCCGTCATGCTCACCGTCTCCACAGCTGCTGCTAAGGTATGTGGTAGAAGGGCATCTGGCCAGGGGCCATGCCACAAAGTCCTGACATGATGATTTGACCACCTGAATTTTACGTCAGGTCCCATCTTTCTGGAAATTGCCAAAGTTACCATGTATCCAAACTTTCTTCTCAGACAGAGGATCCTTGACCCTAAACTGCGAGACTAAACTGCGCTGCCTGGTTTCCCAGCAGCCAGAGCAAATCGGTGTGTTTCTCCTCAGTTTTATCACTTTTGTGGGAAGTCCACATGTGCTTCTTGCATCTCCTGATGCCTGCGGCATCGGACAGTGACTTGCAGATGTGAAGCAGCCATCGCAGATCAACCATGAGAGGCAGAGTTTTCATTTTCTTTGCATTGTCTTGAATGTACTGTTATTCAAGGAAGGCGATGCAAAGGTTTAGTTCAGAGTCAGCTGAGTTGAAAGTTCATGTGGTTGACATTCGTGTCATACTTGAACCTTGAACTAACCAACAAGGGTGAATGTTAGCAAGTACGGAGCTTCTGTGTCCTGTTGGGAGGATATAGAAACCTTTTGCCAAGGCTGGTAACCCTAGGGACACTTTTCTGTTCCCTCTTTCCTCCCCTGGCCATCCTTGTTTTGAAGGAGAAGGGAAGTAGGATGCAGTTCCCCTTACCATGATGTAGTGGTTACAGCCTAGGATGTGGAAGACCCAGGTTTGAATTCCCGCTCTGCAGTGGAAGCTCCCTGGGTGACCTTGAGCCAGTCACTCTCCCAGTCGCACTCTCTCTCAGCCTGATCTGCCTCACGGGAATGGTGGTTGCTGTTGTTGTGAGGATCAAGTGGAGGAAAAGAGAAAAAGAACAATTTAAACGGCTTTGGACCCCCATTGGGGAGGAAAGCAAGGCATAAGTATCTAAAGGCAGGGCTATTTTGGGGCAGGAACGCACAGGAACGGAGTTCCGGCTGGCTCCCAAGTTGGCCACGCCCAGCAGGAACTCATTAGCATAATAGGCCACACCCAACAGCAGAAACTCATTAGGATTGGCTACATTAGGGGTGTGTGGCCTAACATGAAAAGGAGTTCCTGCTACAAAAAAAAGCCCTGGATTTTGACTACAAACAAGGTAAACAGAATAAGAAGCAAAAGGTGGGTGTGGCTGGATAACCACACTTCTGGTAACATGGGGTGTGGCCTAATGTGCTAATGAGCTGTGCTATCATGGGGTGTGGCCTAATATGCTAATGAGTTTCTGCTGTTGGGTGTGGCCTATTATGCTAATGAGTTCCTGCTGGGCTTTTTCTTTTATCAGCACCGGGGGGGGGGGGGGATCGAACGTAGCCACCTTGAGCCACAATAAAAAAATAAAGGGGTTGGAAGGTTACTGTGTGGGCTGATGTAGTGACTGAGCAGGCAGGATATTTAGTACAGGAGCCTCTCCCTGTTCTGTTCCTTCAGTTTGTTGATCCAGTGTTGGGTAATGGCGAATTAGGCCTGGAATGGGAAGGGTGTGTAGCACCTTGATGCAGCACGTGCTTTGGCTACATAGCAACCCAGGCTTACCCCCTGTCATCACATAAAGTTCCCTGCCTGAGACTTCAGAGAGATGCCGCCAGTCAGAGTAAGCAACCCTGTGCTCCAGTGGACCAACAACTTGATCCAGTGTAAAGCTGTGGTCATGAGAGGTGTGCTTTCAAACCCCTGCTCAGCCATAGTTGACTTGGACACAGTTGTCCCTCAGCCTAATCTACCTCGCAGGGTGTGTGTCACCCAGAGCTCTGCACAGGAAGGGCAGGATGCAGACATGATAAATGGAGAATCCTGACCCTACCTCCAAGCAATGTCAAGTGCAGCCCATCAGCCCATCTTAGATGGTCCATCAAGACCTTTGTGAACTTCCTGACTTTGCTGCATTCCTGGGACTGTAGAGCACTTGTTAGGCTGTGGTACATCTACCTGCTAATTTATTTTTGTTACAGCTGTTCCCCCAGGTAGTTCATGGTAGCATTCATGGTTTCCCCCCTCCTCCATGTGAATCTCACAACCACCCTATGAGGTAGGTTAGCCTAAGAAAGAGCAACTGGCCCAAGGTCTCCCAGCAAGCTTCCATGGCAGAGCGCAGATTTGAGCCCAGGTCTCCCATGTCCTAGTTTTCCACTTTTAACTGCTAAAGCATACAGGGCTGCTGGGCTGCAAGTTATTATACATGGTTTTTATTTCCTTGATGCCCTGTCTTTATCCTGAACGGGGTTCCAAAGTGGTTAACATCATTCTTCTCACTTCCATTTTATCCTTTATTTATTTATTTCATTGGATTTGTATCCCGCCCTGCCCACATAGTGGGCTCAGGGCGGGTTCCATCATAGATAATATACAATAATTAAAAACAGTTAAAATACATCAGATAAAATGCAGTGCAATTTCTGTATATCCAATCAGAGCCTTGACAGAAATAAGCTGTCACAATTGGGTTCCAGATATTACTCAGATCTGATCCACTGAAGGGGAGGCCCAATAGATAGATTAAAAGGCAACCTTGTGAGGTAGGTCAGGCCCGAGGGTGTGTGACTGGCTCAAATTCACCCAGTGAACTTCCGTGGCGGAGTGGGGATTTGAACCTGGGTCTCCCAGATCGTACTCCGACACTCTACACAACACCCTGTCTCTCAGTTGTGGAAGCCATATATTTCTCTGTTCTAGCCACTCTCTGCACAGCTAAAGAAAAAAAAAGTCATGTGGTGGTAGCGGCAGCAGCAGAGAAATTGGCTTAAAACAGAGAGCCTCCTACCATGCCAGGTTTTGGTTGCAGCTGTCAATGCCACACCCCCTCCACCCCTCTCCCGTCTCTTACAGAACCTTAACGGTGTCATGGTGGCTGTTGCTGAACTGTTGAGCATGAAGATCCCCAATTCTTATGAAGTGCTGTTTCCAGACAGCCCCATGCGAGGTGCTACCAGTGAGCCTCGGAAAGGTGAAGCTGATGCACAGGGTGAGTGATTTGGGCTGGGCCCTAGATAATCTTACCCCCCTACAACTTATCTACTGTTGACCATAGTTCCCCCCCCCCCTTCCTTTTTCTTCTCAGGCAAAGAGAAGCCGGTTGCTGCAAAGGGCCCTGAAAGTGGCCCCGAGTGGTTGAAGCAGTTTGACGCAATGCTGCCTGGCTACAGTCTCAAGAATGAGCTGGACATCTTGACGTTGCTCAAGCAGGTGGAGAAGGAGGGAGGGGCCTTTCCCAGAATGTTTGTCTCCTCTCTCCCTTGTCAGTGGGCAGCCCAAAACACGGGGATAGTTTCTTGCTCCCAGAGTGTGAGGGTGGCAGATGGTGGACATCTTGACACAATTCCCCTTTTGAACTTCAGTCTGCTTTTCTCTGTATTCTTATATAAGAAATGTATATCTTACTTTTCTGCATGCAAGTACTCAAAAGCGGTTTACAAGCATAATTTTAAATAATAAAAATCAAGCATAATATAAGACACAATAAAAAAACAGCTGTCTTACACAGAGCAGGAACCATTTCCCACCTGCAGTTAAAGCACGGGCAGATAGGAAGGCCTCCTCCTCAAGGATGTTAGCATATGTGTCAAGTGCTCCTGCATGTAGAGGGAACTGCACAGTTGAGAAGAGCCCACCACAAAGAAGGCCCTGTCCCCAATAGCTGCCTGTCTATCCTCAAGGTGGTGGTAGGCTGACTAAACGAGGTTGGAGTTCATCTTCACTCATTCCATGTCATCACAGCAATTCTCTTTTCTTATAGCACTTGGTCTTGGCCAAAAATAGTATTTGAGCTATCTATTCCAGTGCTCTCTCATGTCCAGGAAACCAGAGGAGAAGGAAGGGCTATTTAAAGGAATATGCAAAAATCAGCTCCACATTCTTTCCCTGCACCTTAAAATTGGATTGTGGCTGTGGGTTGTGATCTCATTGAAGTGAGAACCCACTTCTAAATGTGGTCTGCCTTTTTAGCATGGTGCTGCAGGGAGGGAGCCAGCCTTCCTGCAGCTCAAGGAGCCTTTCTTCAACTTGAAGTTAGAGAAAGGCTCCTTAGATTGGGGGAAAGCTTCAAACTTGAGCCAAAAGGAAAGGTTGGTATAAATATTTTAATAAATAAAGCTTGCTCAGTGGGAGGATCCATCCCGCTGTCAGTAGGGGTTCCAGATGTAATGGGTATACTCTGATCATCTTCAGCCCCATGGGAGGCTGAGAGTGGGCAGAGCCCCTGAGAAGGAATGGGGATGTGACAGGGGAGAGGCTAAGAAGGGATGGCAGCAGCTCCTCAACGTTGCTCATTCTGCTCCTTGCCCAACTCAGGAGTTCCAGTGTCACGTCCAACTTGCAAGGACAGTTGTGACATCCCCCCCCCCCCAAATTTATGAAGCGCTGTAAGAGAATAGTTGATGATTGCCACAGAACCCAACTAACTTCAGCCTGATGTGTGTGAAGTTTCTCTCCCTTGGGAATGCAAGGATATGTTGGCTGTTGTGTAGCTGTGAGGGTTTTGTTACAAGATGTGGAGACTCTGGGGTTTTTTTTAAGACTGAGTGCTCCTCCCTCATGACTCCACCCACTTACCCTAATCAGCCACCCTTCCCTATGGCCTATCACTCAGCTCTTCAGAAAGAAGACCATATTAGGTATCTTATGCCCAGCTGATGGAGAACAAGCATTGAATGTAAGATGTACCTTGTAGAGCTTGAGAGGAGGCTGGGGCCCAGCGTTCTAACCATAGTTTCCAAGTTCCTAAATGTAACCCAGGTCTCTTCTTTAAGACTGTTCTCCTTTACCTCTGTTCCAGGAGAGCCCAGCTCCAGAAAAGACGGCCCAACACTGCTACATTAACAATGTCGCCAATCTGGACGTGCGGCAGCTCTTGACGCTCCCTGAAGAGCCATCTCCACCTCTTTCCCCTTTTGCTCCTTCCCCACCTAGTCCCCCCAGGGCAGCGGAGCCTGCCCCTGAACCAGAACTGCCGCCTCTACCTGCTCAATCTCCCCCGGCTTCTTCCCCCAAGGAGGAAGCTCCTCAGTCCCCACTCAAAGCCAAGCCACGCTCCCGGCCCCTGGAAGACAATGAGGAGAACAAACCACGGGTGAAGAAATGGAAAGGAGTGCGCTGGAAACGGCTGCGGTTCCTGATCACCATCCAGAAGGGTGGTGCCAAGCGTGACGGGGACAGGGAAATTGCAGAATTCGTTGACCGCTTGGCCGCTACCCTTCGGCCCGAGAAGGTGCCGCGTGACATGAGGAAATGCTGCTTTTGCCACGAGGAAGGAGATGGGGCCACTGATGGCCCAGCCCGTCTCTTGAACCTTGACCTTGACCTGTGGGTGCATCTCAACTGTGCCCTTTGGTCCACTGAGGTTTATGAAACCCAGGGTGGGGCCCTCATCAACGTGGAAGTGGCACTGCACCGGGGCCTGCTCACCAAATGCTCGCTTTGCCAGAAGACTGGTGCCACTAACAGCTGCAACCGCATCCGCTGCCCCAACGTCTACCACTTTGCCTGTGCCATCCGGGCCAAGTGCATGTTCTTTAAGGACAAGACGATGCTGTGTCCTCTGCACAAGCTCAAGGGCCCCTGCGACCAGGAGCTCAGCACCTTCACTGTCTTCCGGCGGGTCTACATTGAGCGTGATGAGGTCAAGCAGATTGCCAGCATCATCCAGCGTGGGGAGCGCCTCCACATGTTCCGGGTGGGGGGCCTGGTCTTCCATGCCATAGGGCAGCTCCTGCCTCAACAGATGGCAGACTTCCATAGTGTCACAGCGCTCTACCCCGTGGGTTACGAGGCCACCCGCATCTATTGGAGCCTGCGGACCAACAACCGCCGCTGCTGCTACCGCTGCACCATCTGCGAGAACAATGGCCGACCTGAGTTTGTGGTGCAAGTTATGGAACAAGGTCTGGAGGACTTAGTCTTCACGGATTCCTCGCCGCAGGGTAAGGATCAGCTCTGCTGCTAGGCCTCGTTTCTGTGCAGTTGCTGGCTTCCCAGAGCAGCTAGGGCCCGTTTTCCGTACATAGAATCAAGTCGGTCTAGAATCTTGCTGTGCAAGTCAAGCGTTGGTAACCAGAAATTGCAGTTCTTCTGTTAGGAATCACCCCACAAATGCAGTATTTGCATTCGTGTGATAATAGATGTGCATTGCGGTCTGGTTTGTATGGCTGAGCTGCAGGATTTGGAAATTTGGAGAGAAGTTCTCAAGTATCAGCATGCAAATAGCAGATTGGGAAAGTGCCAGAGATCCAAGCAGAAGAAAGGAAGCCGTGGATAACATGGATAGCCCTGCTGCAAGGTGGCTATCTCAGATTTAAGGGGGGCAGTTGGATAGGATAAGCAGTGTTGTGCAGAGGCCGACTCCCACACATGGAGAAGGTTTTAAAAAAGTAAGACTGTTCCTAAGAACATCTATTGCATTTCCCTTCATGGTTTTTATATCATAGCTATAGTATCGGCACAGTCTTCCCCCTTGCCCCTCAACAAAGAAACTGAAGCATTCAGGCACACAAATCTAATACACAGGCTTATAATAACAGCCATTTTGATTTAGAGAGAGAGGGAGGTGCTCCTGGGGCATAGTCTTATGTGGCCTGAAATGCGTAGGAAAAGTGACTGCTTCCCTCCACAACTCTCCTGCCCTGCAGCAGTGGTGCTCCTTTTTCATGTCAGTCCTCATGTTCCTTGCAAATTAACTCAGGTAACCTTGTGAGCCCTTAAATAATATGCAGTTTGTGGGGCCGCTTCAACATCCGTCTACCTGCATCTCTTGCTCCTGGCCTTCATCAAGGTGCTATAAGTCTTGTGCCAAAAATAGTACTTGGTTGTAACTGCAAGGGAGCCCAGGTTCTCTAGTCAGAATGTTAGGTAAATTAAAGGAATACATTTTAAAATTTGTGAAAGACCATTGCTTGACTATAGTCATTGGTGTTTAAGGCATGAAATAGGATTGTAAGCAGCACAGAGGGAGGCATATGGTGTGTGGGGGGGAGGGGATATATGTTGGTGGAACAAATATAGAGATGCCCCTGCAGCTAAGTTCATTGTGGAAAGGAGTCCCCTTGCTAAGCTCAAGCCTGCTGACTTCCTGACTCTCCAATAGTTCAGGCTGGAGACATTCCCTGAGTCACCAGGGCCCTACTGCTTGCCCGCTTAAGGCTGTGGGGTATTTTATGCATGGATTACTCAGCAACAAGGCAAGTTCCAGGAACTGCAGTAAGTCAAGGTGTTGTGATAAGTTTAGAAGCTGGGATCCGATTGTGCTTCCCAGAGGCAGATGTGTGCCAGGGTGAAACGATCTTCTTTTAATTCTCCTTTCTTCCTCTTCCCCCGGCAAAGCTGTGTGGAATCGCATCATCGAACCAGTGGCCATGATGCGCAAGGAAGCTGACATGCTGCGACTTTTCCCCGAGTACCTAAAGGGAGAAGAGCTCTTTGGCTTGACAGTGCATGCTGTGCTGCGCATCGCAGAATCTGTATGTATCCAACAAAAGAAATTGGAATCATGAAATTGGGTGTGGGGGGTATTGGTGGAGGAGTCAGGGGAGGCAAGACCACTGGAAGCAAGGAGGATATGGATGGGTGAAGGGCCCTGAAGGCTAAGGCGGAAGCCTGTGCATGGGTCTGTCTGCAGACTGGAGGATGGCGTCTGTCCAGCATAGATCTGGGATAATTTCCTTTATCAGATGAACTTCAGGTAGCATGAATGGGTTTGTACTGGGAGCCTTTGAATGGTGTGTGGGGTATCTATGTTGGTATTGCATTTAGGGTACAGAGTGCCCGTTACAGATGATTGTTAACACAGTAAGGTGTGAAAGATAGTGAGGGAGGGTCTCACTGCTACGGCTGTTGTTCCCTTTCTCTTTCCAGTTGCCTGGTGTTGAGAGCTGCCAGAACTACATGTTTCGCTATGGGCGGCATCCGCTTATGGAGCTCCCCCTCATGATCAACCCTACAGGTTGTGCTCGATCAGAGCCCAAAATCCTCACACACTACAAACGGTGAGCAAGTCTAGAAGAACGGCACAATAATGTAGAAATCCAATAGCATAGTGAAGGCAGTCTGAAAGGCTACCCTAGTTTTCTTCTCCAACTACTGTAAATACTAATTACTTTGTTGTTCCCTCAGCATATGGTTCAAAAGTACTTTTGCTCCACAGCCATGAGGCCTCAGAGCTTTCTTTCTTTTATGAGCATGACTCTGTTGTCTGTGTTCCATGCCTTGATGGCGGCCATACAGATTGTCTAAATGGATAACGCTGAGTATTGGAGCCTGTCAGCCATGGCCTGTTGCATCATACACAGTTATGGCTCAGGAATGTTATGCAGCTGGAGTAAATTCTAATGTAAGTAGTATTCCAGTGTAGCGGCTCCAGGATGCTGTTCTCAAAGGCTAGTTGTGCCTTGGGCCAGAGATACTGATGAAGCTAGGAATTGTTCACTTAGGCTCTCTCTCCCCCTGTTTGGGAAGCTTAACATGTTGGATTTTTTTTCCTTCCAAAGGCCCCACACCCTGAACAGTACCAGCATGTCTAAGGCCTATCAGAGCACATTCACAGGTGAAACCAACACACCATACAGCAAGCAGTTTGTCCACTCCAAGTCCTCACAGTACCGCCGCCTCAAGACAGAGTGGAAGAACAATGTCTATCTGGCACGCTCACGTATCCAAGGGCTCGGGCTCTATGCCGCCAAAGATCTAGAAAAGCACACAATGGTCATTGAGTATATCGGCACCATCATCCGCAATGAGGTGGCTAACCGGCGTGAGAAGATCTATGAGGAGCAGGTGGGTGGCATGATTTCAGCCCTGGAGTGTTCGTCGGAAGCTAGGGGAGTTGAGGGTGGGAAGACCTGTCCTGATTAAGTGGATTGGGGTGTCCAGCTAGGAAGGGAAGGAGAGAAGGGTTAGGGCGGTGGTACTGATCGTGATGTAGAAGACCCTGCTTTTGGGTAAAGTTTGGTATGTGTGTGAGAGACTGAGGCCTGATGGATGTTCTGGCCTGTTCCAACTCTACTCTCTCTTCTCCCTTCTCTGGCCCTTCCAGAACCGAGGGATCTACATGTTCCGTATCAACAATGAGCATGTTATTGATGCTACACTTACAGGCGGCCCTGCCAGGTGAGTAAGGCTCTGTGGGTATCCAAAGGTTTTGTTGATTTATTTTTAAAATTTAATTACTGATTTGCATCTAAGTGGAGCCTTCATACTACCCTTATTGTTTGTTTCAAGCAGCCCACAAGATGACCTCCTTGATGGCCAAGGCCACAATTCAGATGAGAGTTGTGTTTTAGCCTATTGAAATCAGTGGGTTTTCACATGTTTTGTGTTGCCTCCCCAGGAGAATAGCCACAACAGCCCATCAGCCAAGAGCTACAGCCTTAAGAACTTCTCGTTGCTCTGGTCTTCCTCCTCCACTTTTCCTTGTAGGACAATGTGACTTTTTATGGGCATGCTCTGAACCCACCCAACCCTAGCTGAGATCCTGCTGGCTTACGTGATAAAATACACACAAAGGACATGATTGCCACAAACACAATTTAAAATGGCATTAACCCCCTTTGGTTTTTGGAGGCCAAGCCCCATAAGTGCTACAGTAGGTCTGCAAGAGAGCAGGTGTTTTTCTCCCCCAGTTCATCCTTTTTTATATAAAAGCCGGCTTTTATTTCACTTGTTTCATAGGGAGTCATGGGTTTAGCTTTAAGAGACTAAGTGTAGATTTGCATGTTCAAAATTAAATTAGGATTCTGTTGTAAATTAGGTTTTTTTAAGACCCTTAACTGACTTTATTTATTTTTTAAAAATCATATGATATTGCTCCTTCAAGATGAACCTATTGCATTCATCCTCGTTTGGAGGGTTGAGTGTGTGTATGTGTGTGTATATATATATATATCTCCTTGTATATAATTCTGTTTTGGTCATGGACTCTCCTGAACATTCCACACACTCCCAAATCAGTTCGCTCCCTGATCTGTCACTCAGAAGCTGTCCCTATCCACTAGCTGCATTGCCTAAGCCTCACCTCCAATATTCTAAACGGTTTGGTGTTCCTCTCCCCCCAATAGCCAGTTGGAACACAGAGGTCATTTGCATATGTAGCCTGATTGGCCTTTGCCTCTAACATTCTAAACAGTTTGTTGTTGCGAGTCATTGAATGTGTCCTAAGGTAAAATACATATCCCAATCTTCCCTTAAACGGTCATTGGAGTTGCCAGTCTCCCTGTGGGGCCTGGAGTTCTCCCAGAAATCACCGTGTTCCCCAGCCACAACACATCATTTCCCCTACAGAAAATTTCCCAGCTATTACAATGGTTGCTTTGAGCAGTGGACTGTATGGAATTATACCGTGCTGAAGTCCCTCCACACCCCAAACCCTACCGTCTCCAGGCTCTACCCCTCAGATCTACAGGTCTGACCCTCCCCTTAGTATTGCCAGCCTCCAGGCAGCACCTGAAGATCTCCAAGATCAGTTCTCCTGGAGAAAATGGCTGTTTGGGGCAATGTTTGAGGTCCCTCCACACCCCAAACCCTGCCCTCCCCAGGCTCTACCCCTCAGATCTACAGGTCTGGCCCTCCCATTAGTATTTCCAGCCTCCAGGCAGCACCTGGAGATCTCCAAGATCAGTTCTCCTGGAGAAAATGGCTGTTTTGGGCAATGGACTCTATGGAATTATACCCTGCTGAGGTCCTTCCGCACCCTAAACCCTGCCCTCCTCAACCTCTACCCCTCAAATCTACAGGTATTTCCCAACCCAGAATTGGCAACCCTGTAACTGGCTATGGAACCGCTTTCCAGACCCTTGGAACCCAGAAGACATGGCATAGGAGGAGGTTCTTTTCTACCTTAGCTGCCACTGCATAACCCCAAATCAACATAAGTCAGGGGTGGTGGGAACCATACCTGTTACCATGAGGCTGTCCTCCCATACTATCCACTTGGAGCAGCAAAATGACTGGAGACAGCCCTGCCTTATAGCTAAGCAGAAATAAACAAACATGGCTTGCCTCCCTCTATTTTCCACTTCCCTCTGCCGCCCCACCAGCCACAGTCGGGACACTCACCTGGAGCTTCCTTCTGGAGCTCGTTGTATAAGTTCCAGAGTCTCAGACGGTTGATGGAAAGATAGAAGGAACAGGCTGCAACAACCTAACCTAGCTGAGCTGCCTCTGGAGTTTTGAAAGGATTTGCTTTAGCAAGAGTTATTCCCCCCCCCCCTTACATAAACATGACTCCTCTTTTGCAGCGTGACTAGAGGGACACCATTTCCAAGGTCTGTGGAGCCAGGCAGTTTGTTTTCATATTATATGTTGGTTTGTGTCTGGGTAGAGAGAAACTTTGGGGACTCCAGGTCACTTTCTGCAGACTTGCTCCTTTGTAGAACTTGGTTGCCTAGGAGAGCTATGGCTAATATGAGTGCTGTGGACTACAAGTGTGGCCTTATGCTGTGTACAATGAAAATCCCTAGTATGGTAATGAAGTGAATTACTGCTTTCATGCAACCCTCCATTTCTCTGCCAGAAGTCTGAAAAATGCAGCATCAGGTGTTTCCTTGCTGGTTCCATAGTTTCCCTTTCAGAGCTAGAAATATGGTCCAGAAGTCCTGATTCCTCCCCACCAACACCATCCTGGTCCTTCTTTCACCTACTAGACTTTTTCTTTGTTCTCCTGTGAGGTTAAGAACAGAATCCAGGAGTCCTGAACCCTCCCATCTTCCTTCCCCAAGTCACAGAGCCACTCAAGAATGATGGATGACCATGTTGCTGAGCCCTTGGGGCGGCTTCCATGAAGTGGGGTCCCTTGGGAAGAAAGGTTCAGATGTTCTTCCAACCTACCTGGCTCTAATGTTCCTCTGTCTCTCCCTCCCCCTGCTTCCCACAGATACATCAACCACTCCTGTGCACCCAATTGTGTGGCTGAGGTTGTGACTTTCGACAAGGAGGACAAGATCATAATCATCTCAAGTCGCCGAATACCCAAAGGAGAGGAGGTGGGTGTTGGATTGTTCGGGGGGGGGGGGAGGGCACAGGAGAGCAAGGCACTATCAGTGTGCGTAATCCCTAGCCAGTGGAGAAAATGCCTGTGGAACAATCTGAAATTTGCACCCATGGATTTGTCCTTAAGAGGTTTTTTGAGAGGAGGAAAAACATCTCAGCCTCTCCTGGCTTATCATATGCAAAGCCCTGATTGTGCATATTGGCATGTATCCCTATCCCAGGCAGGCTGAAAGAAAAAGGGGGGTGTAGCAAAGATAAGACCAGTAGCTTCTGTGTCTCCTCCTTCAGTACCTTTAGTATGACATTGCCTTGATCTTAGAGTTTCCTGCTTGCTTACTTTGTACTGTGTGTATTATCTGGCCTATCTTTCCCTGTGATGCTGTGGCACACCCAAGGAAGAACTCTGTGGTAGCGACAGGAACTAGTTGACCCTAGATCATCTTTTCCTGCACAGCCTAGTAAGCTGGAAGAGCAGTGTTCCTGCTTCCCTGTCTTGCCCTGTGAAAACTAGTTTTTGTGGGGATGCATTGATATTTACTGGGCTACACAAACATTGGACTGTGTACGCACGCACAGTGCAGTGAGAAAATGTGAGCAGCAAAGAGCGCTAAATGCATACAGAGATACAGCAAGAATGTGTCAGTCACAAGAACTTATGTAGTCCCAATGAACAGTGTGGGGCACTATGTGTTCAAACCTCTGCAGAACCTTGGGAAGCTGGTAAGACTGAAATACTGGCAAATGCTCATTTTTGCTCCTACTTCAGGAGAATCGCATGCTTCACTCCCATGAATTAAAGCCAAACATAAGGGTTACCTGGGTGTACCTGTTACCTGTGCCCTCTTCACATTTTTGTGTGCATTGGCTCATGTTGCATGAACTCTTGAAAGGTTATCCCAGCGTTCTCTTGTTCTGCCTGGTGGATAGAGACACCCTGAGAGTGGGGAGTGGTGTAGGACCCTAGTCCACGTGGAGAAACAGTTCAGGCATAGAGCTACACGTTTCTCTTTTAGAGAGGAGTCCACACTCCCATTCTTCCTTGGTTGCATTATTGGTCTGAGAGCAGTATAAGAGTTGAAACGTATTGAAATTTTGCTTGCTTGCTTTTTTTAAACTGAAGCAACAATTCACAGCCATCTCGGGGATGAGCGATTAAAGTTGAAAGGTGGCATATTGATCAACTAAATAAAGGCAGAAGCTGCATGGGGGGGGGGAGAGTTCTTTACACATTAGAAGTGTGGTAAGGCTAATATGTATTTATGTTTTTCCATGCTTCCTCTCCAGTTAACTTATGATTACCAATTTGACTTTGAAGACGATCAGCACAAGATCCCGTGCCATTGTGGAGCCTGGAACTGCAGGAAATGGATGAATTAGCCCAAAGAGGCTCTTCAGACATGGTGGGGAAGGGGGCACCCTGACTGCTTAGCACAAACGGCACAGGAGGCTCTGCAGAGAGAGGCCTGTTCTACCAGATCTCCTAAACCCTCCTGTAGGGCAGAGAATCAACCCAGGACAGCATGATTGGAATCCACCACCCCAACATGCTGGTGGGGCAGCTGGGACACCAAAGTGCTTGGGTGACGTCAGCGTATCCGCCACTGCGCTGCCAACCTTGGTTATGGAGTTATATCAAGCCAGCTGTTTTGGCTGTCGGGCTTGACTGCCTCCTCTTCCACACAAAGACGACCTGCTTTTCCCCAGCAGAAGGCAGCAGCCACTAGCAAGCCCCATCTGGGGTGGGGAACTGATAAACTGGCAACTCAGGGTTTTCTTTTAGTATTTTTCTTTTGAGGCCGTAATGGGGAAACCTTCCACCCCTGTGCACCTGTAAATAATGGACTTCAGAAATATACTGGGAGGAAATCGGGGGCATTCTGTCTAGCAGAGCTGGGGGAAGGGAACTGTGGCATGGCTATTGGATCCCCAGGGGAGAGTTTGTAACTTTTTCTGTGTGTTTGGGGGATTTCTCGTTTGTATGTTTGTGCGTGCGCATGTGTGAGAGACAGCTGATTTTTAAAATAAAACTTAATATCTATTGCTTGCTAATTTACCAAGGTAACAAGAGGCTTCAAAGAGACTCATTAGCTTGACAATCCACCTTCCAGAGCTCCCCAGCTCTGGATTTTGTATACATTTAGGTGTTGGATTTGAAAAGGGGGTGTGAGTGTATGTGTGCGTGTGTTTGTGCACTCGCTTTTAGGGGGGAAAATACTTCTAGTGAACAGCAGGCCATGACTTGCTGAAGCTGGAAATGGACCTTCCCTTCCTCCTGCCCACCCTTCCCCATCTTCCATGCGCGAGGAGCGTCCGCACTTGAACCTACCTCATTTGAAGTGTTAGATTTTGTTTTTTGGGTTTTTTTTCTCTAATGTGAGCCCCTCGCTGTGCCACCCTTCTGCTTTTTTTTTTTAACCTCTTCCTTGAACATGGAGAGCCACAGCTGCCCTGGCAGACATGGGAACAGTTTCCGCGTGGAGGTGGGGACTGCTTTGTTGGGATTGTCCCCCCCCTCCATCCCGCCAAGCACAATTCGGCCTCTCGAAAGCCTTCCTGACTGGATTGCTGAAATGAGCCATCAAGGGCTCCCTCTTCCACCCGCCGAAGGGCAGATCCCTCTGCAAGACATTAACGGTGGTATTTTGAATGTGCCAATGAGTGGGGGGAACGAAGAGCTGCTGATCACCAGGTACCAGCGCCCTGCTCCCATTCAGTTTTTCCAGTGTCGTTCACACTGTCTGCAGAGAGGGGAACCTGTGTTTGACTAGTGGAGCTGATGGCTAGTGGTCAGCCTTGGTGTGGACAGTCGTCCACTTTTGGCCTAAGGCCCCACTCCTGAAAGTCCCAGTTCCCGCTCCACAATTTCCTATGATCCAACCTGCTGCTCTGAAGGCTCTCATGTTTGTGTGCACTACATGTGCGTGTGTGAGAGAGACGTTGGCACATTGCAGAGTTTTTGGGATTATTTATCTATTTATATATATTGTGTATATATTTGAACTAGCATGAGGAAGAATGCCCTGGGGCTGCAGGGTTTTATAGACTGCTGGGTAGATCTCTGCAGAGCCCCTCTCCCCCAACCACCCTACCCCCACCAGGCAGGAAGGGAAGCAGAAGGGGGACTCGTTCGTTGACAGAATCTCGGGTGGGAAGAGAAATGTGTAAAGAACCCATTTCTATGCTTTCTAGGTGTGTGTGTGTATATAGATATATATTATATTTTGGTTTTTTTAATAAAAACAAAAAAATCGATTTATACCCAGTATCTTAAGAGCCATTTGCCCAGCAGCATCTCCCTCAATGCAGGGAGATTCGATATGAATTAAGAGATGGCAAAATGTGGGCATTATACAGGACAAGCTCCCCCCCCCCATCCCAACAAAACACAAATACAGTCTTCCCTTGCTGTTGGACGTACTCTGTAGGAGACTGCTGTATCATTGAACCTGAGTCGATATTGGGGGTGGGGGGTGGGAAATAAGGCTCTCTTGACTAACATTGTACAGTTGAGATCTTTAACGCACAATTGCACCATTTCCCCTCCCTCCTTTAAACACACACACATCTCCCACCACGCCTACCACAGTTCTGGCAAGCAGCAGTGCATTTTCTCACCTGACTGAACAAACAAGGGGCGGGAGGATTGCGAGAGAGGGCAATGACGAGGCTTTCTCTTTCATGGTGGGGCATATAAAATCAGGGTTAGCGCACCAGAGTGTGCTTCTTTTTTGAGCTCATTGGCAAGAGGAGGGAAACTGTGTTCTTCAGTTTAAAAGCTGCTTCTGTGAACCGTTCCAAGCTATGATGGTTAAAAACCATGTGTGTGCTAGGGGAGGGGGGAGGAAATAATGACAAATTATTAAAAAAAAAGAAAATTAAATTGTAAATAAGATGGCATCTGTGTAGAGAGAAGATAAAAAAAGTTTTTATCAGTAACAATACCACTGGACATTGTATTAAGATAAAGGTTTGAGTTAAAAGCCAGTATACCTTCTTTTTCTTATTTGTCTCTTTGGATTTGTGCGTCTTTCCATTAATTTGGAAGGCTGTAAAGTTGTAAAAAAATAAATTTTAAAAAATTGCTACAAAGGTTTAAAAGCTTGAGAGAGATTTTAAAAAAATGATAAAGTGACTGAATATAATAGATTGTCAAGATTTTTTTGGATGACGGTTAGAGTTTAAGATAATCCTGTAGATTTTAGCTGATGAAGAAAGACTATACAGTTTTTAATTTTTATATAAACTATAACCCAGTCTTGAAGCTAAAACTTTTTTAAAGTTCTCTGCCTGTATAATCGCATTTGACGCCTTGTCCCATACTTCTGTTTACAGTTGCACATATTATATATATTAAGTTTTAACCCTTTTATGATCCCAAAATAATCACTTTTTTTTAAATAAAGTGTGGACTTTGTGAGGAATTACAATTTGTGTTCTGTGGTTTTATTACTTTGTGTGTGATTTCTAGTAGCAAAGTTGTCCCTTTGTGACGAGAGCGAAGAGTCTGAAACAGAACTATTCCTTTGCAAAAAAAACCTCCAATAAAAGCAAACAAAAAACCATATATGGCATGTTTTGTATTGAATGAACTTCTAAAATGTACATAACATACCATAAAAGGCAGAAAAATTTATTCCTGATTTTGTTTCTCTAAGGAAGTTCTTAAAAGAAAAACTAAAAATATTTTAAGAACTTGAGTCTTAGTTTTTCTGTCTTTTAGTGCGGGCAATGAAGCTGCTGTATGTCATTAGCCAACTGTGTGTGTGTGGGGGGGTGGACTTTCCTTCAGGCCAGTACTGTGAGTCTGCTCTGCTTAGTGACTGAGGAACTTCAGGTGGGTGGGCCAACATGACTGTCAGCATTTGATTCCTTGAATTTTCTGCAGTTTTCCACCTTGGCTTTTCTTCTGGGCTCAAGATCCTGCTTGAGGGTTTTCTAGGAGTGGGAAGCGTGGGACTGGCAGACATTCGCCCCCCCACACACACACCAGCAGATTTGTATCTGACAGAGTGAGCTTTGACTCACAAAAGCTTAGGCCCTGGGAAAGTTTGTTGACCTTTAAGGCACTACTGGACTCAAATTTCATTCTGCTACTAGACCAACACAGCTACCTACCTGAAGCTATCTTCAAAAAGCAGGAATTCCATGTATTGTGTACATCACCTTGAAAGTTCCTTCAAGTTTCTAAAGCTGTTTGTTATATGATGCTCAGGGGAGGGGGGCTGTTGTTCAAAGGAAGTAAAAACCTCCGTGGAAAATGCCTAAGCATGGGGCAAACCTAAAATTGCTCTTTACGTTCTGGGTCCGATCACTAGACAGGTATAGGTTATATGGTTTGTTGGTTCTCAGCCCTAGAATGGGAAAACCTTTTGGACAACCTCAGAACATTTGGAACGACAAGTTTTTTTGGGAGGGTTTTTTGTGTTGCTTAGGATCAAACTGGCTACGATTCTGGATGCCCTGCCAGGGTTAGGAACAGCCTGTACATATATTAATATATAATAATATATATTGTTACACTGATTTTAATGCCTCTTTGAACAAGCACATGATGGATCACCCTGCTCCAGGCATTCTTGGATGAGTCTACAGCCTACACCACGATTCCCACAAAGCATAGTATTGAAAAATCAGCCCACATTGGATGCACCTAACATTCTGTGGGCCAGAGAAGTGCAGTCCCATACAGACTTCTCTCCCACCACCCCAGCCTGGCCAGAGACTTTGATGATATCCCAAGCACTGAGAGTGTGAGGATGCAAGGAGATTCCTTAATGCAGCCTGCACTAAAACAGCTGGGTGCAGGGGCAGTTCCTGAAGCATTGCCCAGTTTGCCCCCCAACCCTGCCAGACCGAAGAATGGGGTGGCAATACTTAACTGTCCTACAGTTTCCAAGCAAGATTTCTGTTTACAAGCCTGGACATGGCTGAGAATATATTGTTTTTGAGTTGTAATGGCAATGTGGGTTTCCAGTCTCAAACAAACCATCCCGCAAGCAGCAAGAAAACGGGCTCTCTGGTCTAAGCTCAGGCTTGGATTCAGACAGAAACATGGGCCGTTAGGTATTAAGCAGAGCATGGAAACTACTATTTCCAGCCCTGATACCTGACTACACTTGCATAGAGATGGGGTCCAACCATGGATGGAGACTTTGTATGTGTAACCTTTTGCTCCTCCCTGCTTTCATCATCAAAACAGGACTAGGGAGATTCTCATGTAGTGTCTCTTGGATATGGTTATGATCAATACTATAGATCAGGGCACAGAATGTACTGTCAGCTGATTTCATTTTCCATCTCACCCACCCTTCCTTGATGGGTAGGTCAATGCAACAGCTTTATTGGTGGCACTGGGAGGCAGAGACATTAAGACAACTGTTCTCGCTTGTTGGCAGCGTGTTCCACAATCTGATTCACAGTGTAGGTGGTCATCTCTGAATCCTTTAATGGTTTTGATGCAGTTTAAAGAACAAAAGGCCTTTGCTGATCTTTAAAGGCAGGGAGGCTCATGTCAAAGGAAGCCTTGATCCAGCTGCCTTCTATTTCAGTACTGGTAATACCCAAAGAAGAACCTTTTCAGCTGTGAGAGGTAAGAGTTTTTCCGATAAATCTCTTTTCACATCAGTGCACTTGCTAATTTTGATGTCTCTAGTCACTTCCCTCACCCCCTTTGCTTTGAAAAAAGCAGCTGTTCAAAATATTTGAACACTTCTTTGGTGTCTTAGGGTACTGAAGTTATCAAGCCAAACCCGCTAGCACTGGTTCCCTTTCACAGAGGCCAGGGAGAGAACATAACCACCCCCAAGCGATGATCTCGGGAGGTGAATTTATTTTCTTAATAAAAAGATGAAGTTGAACTATAGAAAGAGAATTCTGACAAGCTGCTCAACAATTACCCCTGCTGGCAGTGCAGAATTAGCTTAGGTAACAGCCTTATTTAGGAGATTTCCTACACGGCCCCTCCAGAGACCTGCTCAAAGAGGCTTCTACCACTTGGAGATTAGTAGAACTGGGCAAGGTATAGCTTAAGGGACACATCAGTGTGGGGGAGGCTTTCACCTCTAAGAGGAACTTTTGTTTGTGTTGTTGTTTGCCAGCTTAAGAGAACAGCCTTTTAAACTCTGTCCTCAGGTCTTACTGGAGATATTTACTCCTATGTTATATAAGTATCTTGATCCCTTTCTTTTTACTTTGTGACTATTGGGTGTATGTGTGTGTGTATTTTTGTACTTCATACATACATTGGGGTTGAGTGTCATCAGTCTGCTGACGATCTCACAGCTCTGTGCTACTATTGACAGTGTAGTTCAGAGGTTAAAGTGTCAGACTAGGGCCTAGGAGACCTGGGTTTCATATTCTCCTCCTGACCTACCTGACAAGACTGCTCTGGGGAGGGAAGGGGAGAAAAACACACACTGCCGTGGACCTCTTAGAAAAAGATTGTTTAGCACAATTTTATCCCAGTCTCCAGGAGCAGTTATCTCTGTGCTGAGCCACTGCCTATGGTCAAGTGGCTAAGGGAGAAGAAGGTAAAATTGAAGATAGATAAGATGGAGGCGACCTGGTCAGTAAGACTGATATTCTGGAGGGGATTGCCTTGCCTTTACTGGAAGGAAGGAACTTTCGCAGATTTAGTGAAAAACCAGAGTTTTTAAAGATTCTGCTTTGCTGGCAGTTATACAGATTACTATAGTGGCCAAGAGGGGCAAGAAGACTGTACTCCTTCCTTTTAGGAGACTCAGCTGCTTTGCACTATCATAACAGAGGCTAGACTACTGTAACAAGTGCTACATGAGGATACCAACAAAGACCATTCAAAATTCCATTGGTACCAAAGGAGGCAGCTGGCTTGCTTTTGATGATTGAGCCAAATGGCAATATATTACACCTGTATTAGAACATCTTTATTGGTTTGACCATTTGCTCCTGCATCCAAAGCAAAATGGCTGCTTCTTATGCATAAAGGACTTCATAAACCTGGCCCCAACTATTCTCTCACTATGAACCTATTCCGCTGTTTGCAGGAGCACTTGCTCACCATTCTATTCAGGCCAGTAAGATCAGCATTAGAATGGTCTTAGACACTCTCAGTATTGCCTCTGTCCCTCTAAAACAATCTCCCAGTGGACAAGAAGATTATTTCTCTTGCCAGCATTTTAGGAAGACTGTGCTTTTTAGGAGGGATTTTAGTACTATGGGATGAACATATCAAAAACATTTTTTCTGCTGATTATGTGCTTGTTTAGCGCAAATAATATTCTCATTATATTATGGCTATCCCTGCATGCTACATTGGGCCAAGTGGAACAAAAAATATTTTAATGAATAAAGAGATGTCCACAGCTTCATTGCCTGGTCAACCTGAATATGAGCTGCCCTGCATTAAACAACATTACTAGGTAAATTACAGTAGTACAGCATATTTACAGTACAGGGTCAGCTTGACTTGTATGTTGCGACAAGCAGAGGAATAGTGCTTGCAAAGTCTGGCCATTAACACTGCAGTGTACCATCTTCAGATTACTCATAGTGGCTGAGAAGGCAAGATTTACTTGGTGACGGGCACACTGCACTGCTTTCAGAACTCCTAGCAGTTTCTTTTGTTTAGCCACCCTATAGAATAATCTCACATCCAACTCCCCTCCTTGAAATCAGTTCACACCGGGTGAACCAGCTCTGAGATTCAAACTTTCAAAGAATCCTCTACAACTTAACGAGCATTGAAGCTGTACGTGCCAAGGAAGGAGAATTTAAAAACAAACAGCAGAGACTAGATACAGGTATGCAGAAAAGAAGTACAGATGGAAACAGCATAAGGACCTGACAAAAGGTTCCTCTTATTCTGAGCTTTTCACTATTACAGTGATCTTAAGTTTTCTCTCAGAACAACAAGGACAAAAGAGCCTCATTCTGAAAACAGAAACCAAGTTCTGTGCTGGAGGCTAGATTGCATGTTTCACTAGGATGAATGAAATCCTACTGAAAGTTGGTACCTTCCTTACCTAGTTATAACTGAAGGATCACAGTAGATAGGAGTGCACACATCATATTCAAAAGCTCTATTCCCAATCTTTTCCTCTTTCTGAGTGGGAAAAAAACCACAGTGAAACAAGGTTGCTTGAAGTGGGAATGTATAAAAAAAACAATGGAAAGGATTTAACATAGAAGCTGACCCCAGTCACCCATTACAAACAGCTCAAAGGAGTAGTCTTACATGGAAGGTCTGCAGATTTCAAGCCCTGCCAAGAGTTCATCTTTTCATTCCACCAGGAGTAAAACCAAGTGACTGGCTCAATCTCCTTGCAAGGAAAGAACCCAAAAGTTCTGTACTGCTCAATTCTCTGGCCGGCTAAAGATATCTCTGCCCCTCTTAATTTACAAGAGACTCTTCACAGCTCAATCTCAGGACAGGATGATTGCTGGTTTGTCACCAGGTTACTGGAGCTGGGAGCCATTTCTCCTTCAGTTAAGGCTCAGCAGTACCAAGGTTCTGCCTGCTTCAGTACTTATTGATACCAAAGATGCGGACGCCGTGGAACTGGGGAAGCTTAGGCAGGAGGACACTCAGCAGGGAGGTGGTGTTGATTATGAAGTGCCCAGGGTCATATTTGGTATAAAAGCTGGTCAGGATGTAGCTAAAGGGAAAGAAACAACCTATATTAGTTACATTTTCAACCTGTATCATAATTAATCTCCCCAAGAAGACTTCTCCAAATAAAACTAAATCATAACTCTTTAAATTATTTTCAGGAAGGGTGTGGGGAAGTACAGGCTTCCCTTTGAACACAGGGGTGACTCCAACTTCTCTCATATGTTGCTTAACTTGGGCTGGGAAGAATCAACTGCATTTTCAGTATACTTTAATGAAAGAATCAAGAGAACCAATAGCTGTTTGTACCCCATTTACTCCCAGCACAAACATTCAGAACTAAAAGAGAGGGATGCAGCCACCTACATACAAAAACAGGAAGATGTGTGTTACCTGCTTCCTACCGCAAGGAAGCCACACATAAAAGGGGTGAAGAAAGAAGCTCATACTTCCTTAAGAACACCACTCCCACATTTTGAGGACCCTTGCAATAGAGCACTCATATTTCAAACCTTTGTAATGAGTTATTTGTATTCACACTGTCCATGGCACCATTCTCACTTGGATAGCTAGCTGTGGCCACTCTGGTCCTGCACTTCTTTTTTCAGTAACCGGGCAATTCAGCCTCTGGCACAAGTGTGTGATAAAGATCTTAGAAGTAACCTGCTGTAACAATATGCCAACTTTGTGCAACATAATTCTAATAATCAGATTTGGATTATTAAACAAACACACACACCTCCCCCGTGATATAATCATACTGTTGGCTCAATCCTGACATAGACTACTACATAAGTCTTCCAAAAAGAGCTTGATGAATTACCTTCTTTCTTTAAAGGGAACGACAGAATTGCCATTTCAATCACGCACCCACATCTTGCTGTCTTGTACGTAATACAGTTTACAGCTTTCTCCGGGTTTCCTGAACTATGTGAGATGAGAAGAGCTGCTCTGCTGTATGCCCTGGCTCTTAGCAGGCAAGGTAGCTGTCGGGAAGACTCTCGCTGCTGCATAATAGACCTTGCCCTCTATCACACTACTAGCTCTCTGTATCTCATTACCGGGGAAGGGCTCATTGGCATATACACAGGATTAGGAGCTAAGGCAGTAGCTTGGGAGAGAAAGTCAGGAAGGTTCAGGGACATGAGGCCTTGCGAAGAAACTCTAAATGCCAGCTGCACCAAGAGCTGACTCATTAGCCTCAGATGGGCTGAATTAAAGCAGGGCAGAACCGAGTGATCTGTGATACTCACAGGACTATTGGGGAGATGCTTAGGAACTTGCGAGAAGAGGTCCACTGTGTACCATAATCAATCTGCTCCCAGTGTGTGAGGAGGCGATCTTTGCCCTGGTCAGGTGTTTCAAAGGGGGTCCCTTTCACTGTGTGCAGGAGCCAATACATTGCCTGAGAAAAAGGAAGCACTGAGGTAAAATAGCCATTTCTTTCCCCCAACTTTGTGGCAAAAAAAGAGTGCATCAAGGCAACAGAGATGTTTCCTTACGCTGCTCAGATGAAATGGTGTACATCTGAGGAATTTGCTGGAGGATTCAACATAATGGAAATCCTCAAACAGATTCAACCTCCATCATGGGAAGTCACATCAGTAGTCAAGCTTCCCTTCTTGAGAAAAATGAAGCACCCTCTTAAAAGACTGACACACCCAGAAAACGCTTCAAAGTTTCAGAGAACAAGAGGCAGGTTTAGGGTAACTGAAGCACAACAGTAACAGAACTTTGACCTACCAGGTTATGGATGACGTTGGTTAGGGTCCAGACCACAGGGACACTAAAGAAGGGGATGCTGAGAAGGATGATGTGAAGAGTGGCCACAGAGATGCTGTAAGCCAGCCAAATGCCTCGGCTGTTCATAATTCGTGTGTTGGGATTCACCTCACTGTGGGCTACCCCAACATTCATGCTGAAGAGAAATAAAAAAATGTTGGTTGCACAAAGGTACCACCAGGAAATGGACCACCTACTCATCTGAAAACATCAATGGGAGCTAAGCTCGTTGGGAGTCATGATACCTCTCCCTGGACCAACTAGAATGCCTGTCAGGTTCCACAGCCAGCAACGGAGTACACGCTTATCAGAAAGGATATACTTTATTGAAGAGCTATAGATGCATTAACAGAAGCACTGTTAAGAATGGCGTCGCCCCTACAAGCATAATGGGATATAGGGCATTCGTATGCACCCCCCCTGTCCCTAAGCCAATTAGCCGGACTCCCGCATGTGGGAGAATAGTTCCAGACCATTAGAGCCAGAGCTGGGAACCGATAGCGCTCCCACGGCCTTCCCTGAGCTCCAGACACTACACCACCTGCACATCTTAGAGATAACAGCGTTACAGCAGAGAAGAAGCACAGAAGGAATGCAGCAATAATTAGTACACATAAAAGGGAAGCCCATGGCCTCCTGAACCAGCATGGCAGCATAGCTGACAATGCCCTTTGCAGACCTGGTTTGGAACAGTCTGTGAATCTAGCATACAAGCCTTAATACAGAACCCAAAACAATTTCACCACCCTCAAAGCATTAGTCTCAGAAAACTGAGCCCAAGTTATTAAGTACTGAGACGAGGCAGCTCTTTTCATAACAACATGTTTCTTTATTGAACTTCTGCATCAAAGAAACAGGGTCAACTTGTAAAAACCACACCCACCTTAAACAACGACCAAGACCAAGTAGGCAGCTACCGTGTTTCCCCGAAAATAAGACACTGGCTTATATTTATTTTTTCTCGAGAAGACACACTAGAATCACAAATGCATAGAAATCCTGCTAGGGCTTATTTTTGGGGTAGGTCTTATTTTCGGGGAAACAGGGTAGAATCCTTCATTTGCATGACCTATATACAATGTAACTAATGACAGTGCAGCTATTAGGTAATAATCAATAAATATGATTGGCTGTTACCAGCAATGTTCCCTCTAAGCTGTGGAGTCCTGTGAGCAAAAATTCTACTTGGTGAGCTACTGGCATTAAAGTTGTGAGCGAGCCATTTGGCTACTGCATACATTAGTTTGCTCTGGAGCCATCCTTCCTGAGCTAAGACAAAAATGTGTGAGCCGGAGGCTAAAAAACTGTGAGCTAGCTCACACTAACTCAGCTTAGAGGGAACATTGGTTACCAGTAACACAACCAACAGTCTTGACGGCTTTTGGAGCTTTGCTCAGACTCAAGCACCACCAGTACATAACACAAGTAATGTGCTTACTCAAGATCACAGAACTGGTGGTGGAAATGGAGCTGAAACTCAAGAGGAACTGTAACTTCCAGACCTGAATTTACTGCATTTATTTATACACCCTATATTTCTCCTGGTACAGTCAGTACTCAGTGTGAGTAACTTTATCTTGTGTGAGCACTTTATCTTGTTTGAATTTTAATGTCGTATTTATTAATGTATGTGATTTTATTATGATTGTTTGATGCGAATTTTATTGTTGTAAGCTGCCCTGAGCCGGCCTCGGCTGGGAGGGTGGGATAAAAAAAATTAATAATAACAATAAAATAACAATAAATACAAAACCAAACTAATCACCTATTAAAAGAAATAAAACACATCATTTAAACAGATAATTAAGCTCTTTTAAATAGGTCTGTTTTAATCTCCCCAGAAGGCCCCAGAAATAGGTGCCAGTCTGACCCCTTCCAGGAGGCTATTCTATAACTGCCGGGCAGCAAATAAAAAAGGCCCAAGATGTAGCCGATAATATTGGGGGGGGGAGCTAGGAAAGGCTGTTGTGAAAGAGTGCAATTTCCACACAGATTCATATTGTGAGTCTTGAAGTATTACCAAACCCCTTACAGAAACCAGGTGGTGGGAGGAGAGGGGGAATCCTAGTTGGCCACGACTCCCTAACCGTTTGTGTCTTCCAGTGGTCAAAACTAGAATCTACATGTTGTGTAGATGGCTATACAAAAGGATATTTACTGGTACAGCGTTGAGCACCAATACTACTTCTGCTCATCATCAGGGACCAGCTCAATTAAAAATGTCCCCAGTTTCCTAACAGCTACAATCTGGCTAACATGGAGTTGCCTTGTCTTGTTTTTCATCAATTTATTACATAAATCATCTGGAATTTTGAGTAAGAGCTGCTGCTGTCAGGAAGAACCAAGAAAACAGCTCAGCCTGCAATTTTCTGAAGCCCTCTATAAAAAAAGTGCTAGATGCAATTGCAAAGAGGTGGCAATAATAGGGATTATCAGGGCAAGACAGTGGCTTTATTAAACCATTTATATTATAAGGTTGTTGTTTTTTAATTAAGAGGATCTACCATATTTACTTCGTTGCTCATACCTGCCACTGGCAGACTGTGGTCAGAAATCCAATGCATTATTTTTTTTTAGGAGCAGTGTTATGAAAGTAGTTAGTCTGACAGCGTACCATTTAGGGAGTAGGGAAAACTCCTTTTTCAGGACACATGTTTATTCTTCATAAGCTCCTACATTGCTGCTTATTATAAGGTACAAAAATTAAACACAACAAAAGTTCTTTAAAAGTATTGGGCGCTGTTTTCTGCAATTTAAACTAGAAGATACCCAAGAATAAGCTTCTGATGGTGAATCTTGCCCAGCCCTCTAAAATAGAACACATGAATTCTGGCTCAAGGCAGGAGATCTGACCCCAGCGGGCTTTTTAATCCCTTCTTGAGATTCTGAAGACTGTTATCTTAAAACAAAAGTACTTAAGACTGGATGAATCATGTATCTCAGTATACTGACATTATGGAAAAAACAGAATCAAATTTGACGATTCTTAATTTTTGGTCCTTCAGTTTTGACAAAAGGATTGACACATTCAGCCCTTGATAGTTTTCAGTCGTGAGTGTGCCTCTGTGTGTGTGTGTGTGTGTGTGTGTGTGTCTGTGTGTCTGTGTGTGTGACAGATCAGGATTTGTCATTTATTATTTAGACATTTTCTAAATAAAAATGTACACTGATTGGTTGCTAAAAGTATACACTCAGTGTCTCTTATAATACTCAGCTGACACCAGTGTCTTCACCACCCTCAAATAAAATAAATAAACACATATCTATGACATCTTTCAAGGTCAGTCTCTCTCTGAAAATAATACAGCTTGAAGGAGTAGCAGTCCAGTTAAAATAAGCAATTAAAACAGATAAAATAAAGTTAAATAAATTACCAAAAACTCTTCACAAAGCTTAGCTACAACACCATATCAGCTGACCAGACTGGAAGTTAAAATTTATCTCCTACAAGTACACACCTTTGGCACAACCTGCAGTCATGGCTAATTTCTGTAGACACTGCTGGTTGGAATTTACACCGCTTTAGCCTTTCCCATTTGCATATAACTTTGCACCACAAAAGTACGTAATTCAACAACAAACGATAATAGTTAAAAGAAAAATGTGGCATAACTGACATTTTTAAAAAGTTGATTAATATTTATCCACCCTAGTTACATAACAGCCAGTGACCTGTGACGTTATCATTATGGAACGGTCCATGCCCTATCATCCTACTAGGACTGTCCTGTTTCCTGCTCCAACCCATCTCACAGATGACATCGGGTACAACTCAGACATCCCCCACCCACTTATGTTCAGGAGCAACAAAAAATGCAAATATGGGGAGAAAAAGCAAGGAAAGGCAATTGCCTTCTTGCCTTGCTTGTGAATAGCCTGTGTGTGTGTGCAGGGGGAATACTAAACTAGACAGACTTTGGTTTGCTCACCTACCTCCTTTCCCTTTTAAACCCACTGGATTTCTCTCTCCCCAGGGCAAAAGTGTAAATTTATGCCAGCTATTACATAGTTATACTGTGTTTCTTTCAAAGGAGGTTAGAACAACTCTCCTCATCACCATTTTACCATAACAACCACCCTGTAAAGCAGTAGAGCAAAGTTTGAGTCCAGTGGCACCTTTAAGACCAACAGATAATGATAAAGACTCTGATAAAGACACAATACATAAAAGTTTTCATCAACATACCATATGGGGTGCTCTAATTAAAGTATGGAAAGAAGTAAAAGAGAAGTTTTATCATAAAATACCCAAATGGATCTCACCAATGGAAGCTTTTATAAAACCAGCGTTACTAACAAAAGATAAAATAGAAAAATATGAAACATTACTAGATAAAAATAATAGGCTGAAAAATCAGGAAGAACTACGTTTACAAAATATTAAACTGACTTGGTGGGAAAATGTACAATTAATAACTAGGTATAATAAGGATAAAAAAATTGGATTCCAAGATACGAAATTAGACTTAGAAAAAATTTGGCTATCTTCAAGCGATAAGACGATTCAGAAACTATATAATTTCCTCCTTCAAGTGTATTTATTAGATGAAGTAGTCAAAGTACCAATGATATCTTGGATGCAAGACTTTGGTTATAACACTGACATAGATGAATGGTCCAAAATATGGAAAGTTATAAAATATACACAAGCAATACCATACAAAGAAAACATATATAAGATGTTCTATAGGTGGCACTGGTCACCAGATAAAATAGCTAAGTGTTATAAAAACTCATCAAAAAACTGTGGGAAATGTAAACATAGTGTAGGCACACTATACCACATGTGGTAGAGATGTAGTGTAACACAAAATTACTGGCATAAAATACGGAATCTTATACTGGAAATCATAGATATAGATTTACCTTTGTGTCCTGAAATCTATTTGTTAAATATTTTACCAGATAATTGTAATAAAACAGATCAATATGTAATAACATATATGCTAACATCTGCTCGTATTATATTTACTAAATACTGGAAACAAGAAAAATACCTTCAAGAGAAGAATGGATACATAGAATGTTGGACATAGCTGAGATGGACAATTTAACACTGTTTATACAAGGGAAAGATGAGGATGTGTTCAATAAAAGGTGGCACAAATTTTATATATGGATAGAAAATAATTATCA